TTGGATCAGCCTGTAGTGTGTTTTTCCCCTTTAATTTTGAGTTGGACTCAGTGGCATACTAAGGGGATGCGGGGGGGGGGGGCGATCTGCACTGGGTGCCATCAAGTAGGGGGGTGCCACCAGGGCTGGCCAGACTTGGGAGTCTGTGAGCTGTCTGGCTGCACCGGGCGTCATAGCAGCAGGGGCACCGGGCAGCCAACACAGCTCACCCACGCAGGGGCTGGGAGCAGGCGACCTGGCTCAGCTGGCTGCACAGAGAGTTGGGGGCGGAGCTAGAGCGGTGGCGGAGTGTGTGCTGTGTGTAACTGTGACTGTGTTTGACTGTGTGTGTGAATGTGTGACTATCTGTGACTGTGTGAGTGACTGTCTGCCTGTGATTGTCTGTGTGACTCTGTGTGTGTGTGTGACTGTCCGTCTGTGACTGTGTGTGACTGTCTGTCTGTGACTGTGTGTGTGTGACTGTCTGTCTGTGACTTTTGACACATACCTTATGTCCTTATTAAAAACTGGTAATCATTCCTAGAGCATAAATGTTGGTAGATGAGGATTTATGGACTAACTTTCATTCTGTAAACTAAATAAAAGTAAAAATGTTTATACCCAATTCTGGTAGTGAAGTTGTTAATAATATTGTATAGTATCTTCCTATGAATATAGTCAGTTAATTAATGAACAATGTGAAATAGTGTTTTATTGCCATATGGAAAATTATTTTGAGATCGCCAAATAGTCTCTAGTTTGGAACATGTTGAGACATTGCCGTGTGATCCAAGGAGGTGTGTATAAATTGCACACATTACGAACGAGTGCTTTCCAAGCTGGAACGCATCTATTATGTATGTGCCAAAATATAATAAGCTATTGGATAGAGAAAGCCAGCAGAGAAGAGTTTTGTATAATCAAATGCTGTATTTAAATTTTGTGCTTTTTCGAGTGTTCTTCTTCTGTGTATTACAATATTATAAATTAAATTGTTAAGGTATTTTGCATTATGCAAGTGATATATTTCCTTGAGATGACTACTCAAGCACATTCTTATAGAGAGCTGGTCCAACAAGTTTGATCCATATCTTGTAGAAACTCTATTGACCTATACAATTTTAAATCTTCTGTTTTTAATTGTGTAGGTCAATAGTTTGTTTCATAGTAATGATAGTTGTCAGAAAAAAAAATGCATTTTATATTGCACTCAAATGAATATTTCTATATTACTTGATCTGGTGGGTGATGACAAGTAGGCATATGCATGGGAAAAATTTTCGGTTCGGTTTGGCATTCCGAAATTCGGGACATCGGCAATTCAGCACTTCGACACTTCGGCAACTTCGACACTTCAGAACTTCGCCACTTCGGCACTTCGGAACTTCGGCAACTTCGCCACTTCGGCATGTCGGAATTTCGGAACTTCTCTTGCAGCCGCTTGATAGATAACTTACAGCTATACAGGATAGTGTGCAGCGCATAAAAAATATAAACAGAAAACACATATAAGTGAAAACTTCCACCTTGGGTGAATAAATAATAATAAATAAGTACCCCAATGAGATGGTTATCAGAAAGGGTATGTCTTATCTATAAAAAATAGAAAGATCATAGCATAATACTGTGATGATAAATAAATTGAATAAAGCAATCTGTATGGTCCAACTCACATATAGTAGAGCCTGTTACAAACTGGCTCAGGTATAGTAGCTTAAGCAAGGTATCCTCAAATGGAATCACGAAAGCTGCAGCTTGATCCTCAATATAAAGTGCATAGACATCAATTAGAAGAATAGCAGCAATACAATTTATTAAAATCAATAATAAAAGCTTACATATAAAATTCTGGAAATCCAGCAAATAGCACAACGCGTTTCGACGTTATAATACGTCTTCCTCAGGTGCAATATTGTTATAACATTTCATCCACAATTTAAAACAAGATTGGGCGCGAAAAACGGGTACTTAGAACCCGCCCCCCGCGTCCACAAACCAATCAGCTTCCTTCCTCAAGTCTCCCAATCCAATCCTCTATGGTCCCGTCGTCATATTCTTCTACTTCCGCGTTCGTGCGTTCCACCGCAAGCACTTCCGGGTTCACTTGCGTTCCATCCGTGATACCGATGCGTTCCAGCACTCGTTTCATGCGGTTCACAGCGGAGAATTACCCTAAATTCCTCTTCACTTTTACTGTTGTGTCAAATCATTGTCCTAATTAGTCCTCATAATGTGGCACTCCACAGCACAGTCCCCACATAAAAATAGAAACAGAGGGAAGGGTGATAGAAGAGGAAGGGGGACATAAAAATATATAAATAAGAATACCCATGGATAATATATATAATAAAAAATATGTAATAAAAAATTAGGTATATTATATGTAATTATACATCTCAAAGTCAATGTTAAGGCCATTTGGAGAGAGGGTTTCCAACTCAAAAATCCACTTCATCTCAGTTCTATTAAGCATCTTTAAGTGGTCTCCCCCTCTCCAAGGCTTTTGGACTCTCTGTATCCCCATAAAGTGCAAATTATCAATTCCACCACCATGAACTTGGTTAACATGTGCAGATACAGAGTGGTTAAGGACCCCATTCTGTATATTCCTAAGGTGTTCACAGATTCTAACCTTAAGGGGTCTGGTCGTGCGACCTACATATTGTAGTCCACAAATACAGGTTAATAAATAAATTACATTAGTTGAATTACATGTGATAAAATCCTTTATATTGTATTCCTTCTTTGTCTTATTTGAATAAAATTTTTCAGTTTTTTTACTAAGCTTCCTACTGGTACTACATGCTTTGCAGTTCCCACAATTATAAAATCCTTTCAAATCTTTCCCCTGTATATCTCTGTCCTTTTGGGAATTTTTTGGGATAAAACTACTAGTTAAAACATTTTTGAGATTATTAGCCCCTCTGTATACTATACGCGGTTTTTCCCCTATGTATGTCAGGAGATCCTCATTTTGTCTCAGGATATGCCAGTGTCTCTTGAGAATTTTATGAAACAGATGACTTTGGGAATTATAATCGCATACTATAGGGACTTGTTGTTCTAAAACGGTATTCTCCTTCCTCTTATATACCAACATGTCTTTTCTAGGTTTAGTACATATATCTTTAAATTGAGTTTCTACGTACTCCTTTTTATATCCCTTTTGATAAAATTGGTTTTTCAGGATATCTGATTGTTCCAAAAAAGTATTTTCATCCGTACAGTTCCTCTTAAGTCGCATAAATTGCCCTTTCGGGATATTAGTAAGCCATGTCTTAAAATGACAACTGTCGTTATCAATATAACTATTGACATCGACAGTTTTGAAGAACGTACTGGTTTTAATGATCCCATTATCCACAAAAATTCTCAAATCCAAAAAATGTACTTCTTGACAACTAATCTCTGAGGTTAGCTTAATACCCCAGGAATTGTTGTTTAAGTAGATTAAAAAATCATCCAAAGTTGTTCTACTCCCTTTCCAGATGAAAAATACATCATCGATGTACCGCCGATAGAGGACCAAGTTCTCCCTCCAGTCATGCTGGGCATAAATAAAGGATTCCTCCCAATAAGCCATGAATAGATTAGCATAACTGGGGGCGAACTTGGTCCCCATGGCCGTACCCTTTTTCTGAATATAAAAATCTTTTTCGAACCAGAAAAAGTTGTTCTTAAGGATGATCCCAATACCATCAATAATGAACTGAATCTGTTCCTCTTTGAAGGAATTGGATTCCCTCAGGAAGTGTTGAACTGCCTCACAACCAATATGATGTTCTATGATCGTGTATAAGGTGCTCACATCACTAGTTACAAGAATATATTCTTCCGACCAGACAAAATCATATAAAATCTGGAGAAGATTGATGGAATCTTTTAAATGAGCTTTGGTTTTCAACACAAGCGGTTGTAAAAGGGTGTCAATATATAGTGACAAGGGCGATAGTAAGGAATCCACCCCGGCCACAATAGGTCTGCCTGGGGGTTGTACTGGATCCTTATGGATCTTGGGGAGAATGTATATAACAGGAATAATGGTGAACTCTTTATTGAGGAAATTATACTCATCTTTGTTAAGGATCCCCAATTCTAACCCTTGATCTAAGAACCTAATCAGTTCTTTTCTAATATTGGGTTCTGGATTAGTTTTAAGTTTCCCATATGTATTGTCATCCTTTAATTGTTTAAAAATTTCTTCAATATAATATACTTTATTCATAATGACAACTCCCCCCCCCTTATCTGCCGGTTTGATGATAATACTGTCATCTTTGGCCAAATCTTCCAAAGCTTTCTTCTCTCCCCATGTAAGATTTTGTTGGAATTTTGTAAGAGGTTGGATTTTTTTGAGCTCAATCATACATGCTTTCTCAAAGGATTTCATACTGGGACTCCCACGGTATTAGGGAGTTATCTACCAAAAGGCTGAAAGACCTAAATTGGTCTTTCAGGCAAATTTACTAATACTAAGTAAAGGTTACTTAGTATTAGTAAATTATGCCCCTACTCGCTATACCGAGAGTAGGGGCATGTCTAGTAAACAGTGAGCAGCCTGTGGCTGATCACTGTTAAAAAAAATAAAATAAAAGGGTACCCCCTCCTGAGCCCCCACCCCTGAGCGGTGGGTGGGGGGCCTAAATTAGAATAAGGGGGGGACCTATTGCCCCCCCTGGCCCACACCCCTGTTCGGCCCTAAAGTAAAATAATGGGGGGGACCTATTGTCCTCCCCCACAGGCCCCCACCCTTGAGTGGTGGGTGGGGGTGGTGGCCCTAAATTAGAATGAGAGGGAGACCTAATGTCGTTCCCCCTGGCCCCCAACCCTGAGCGGTGGGTGGGGGCCCTAAATAGTAATAAGGGGGGGACCTAATGTCCTCCCCCTGGCCCCCACCCCTGAGCGGTGGGTGGGGGCCCTAAATTAGAATGAGGGGGAGGACCTAATGTCCTCCCCCCTGGCCCCCACCCCTGAATGGTGGGTGGGGGCCATAAATACTAATTGGGGGGGACCTAATGTCCTCCCCCCTGGCCCCCACCCCTGAGCAGTGGGTGGGGGCCCTAAATTAGAATGAGGTGGGGGGCCCCCACCCACCGCTCAGGGGTGGGGGGCAGGGGGCAAGACATTAGGTCCCCCCCATTGGTATTTAAGGACAATAGGTCTCCCCCCATTACTTTACTTTAGGGCCCCCACCCACTGCTCATGGGTTGAGGCCTGGTGGGAGGACAATAGGTCCCCCCCTTATTTTACTTTAGGGCGGTGGGGGCCAGGAGGAGCAATAGATCCCCCCTTCAGGCTGCTCACTGTTAAATATACATGCCCCTACTCGCGGTATAGCGAGTAGGGGTATAATTTACTAATACTAAGTAATCTTTACTTAGTATTAGTAAATTTGGCTGAAAGACCAATTTAGGTCTTTCAGCCTTGTAGTAGATAGCTCCCTAATCCCGTGGGAATTAGGGAGTTATCTACTTATTCATTCCTGTCATTACATTGACTGGCCAAGTAACTGACATTTTATATGAATGTGTGTTACTTGATTGTTGTAAGTGTTGCAAATGCTTACAGCTGAATCCTGGCTACGTTTGTATACTTTTTATTTAAAATTGTATACATTGTAACATTCTTCTTCTTCCACTGGGTAAGCATATTAGTACTTAGGCAATACTGTGCTTCGGAACTTCGGCAATTCGGAACTTTGGCAACTTCGGCACTTCAGCACTTCAGCACTTCGGAACTTCGACACTTTGGAAATTCGGTAATTTCAGAACTTCGGGACCTCGGTAATTTGGCAATTCGCACTTCAGGTATTCGGACATTCATAAGTACCCAACTGTCCGAATTGCCCGAAATTCGTCCAAATTCATATTCGGCCCGAAACGGATTGCACTTGTCTAATGACAAGTCTTGTGAGGTGTTCCCGGTATGCAATGGTTAGTACCTAACAAATGTGGTGCAAGGAAAATCAAGCAGTGATCTGGCATCAGGGTCATGGACTCCCAAGGCTCAGTGATGAATGTGGGGAATGAAGGCTCGCCCATCTGGTCCAATCACAAAGAAGAGCAATTGTAGCTCAAATTTATGAAAAACTTAACGCTAGCCTTAATAGAAAAGTGTCAGAACACACTATGCATTGCAGTTTGCTGAGTAGCCACAGACCAGGTCAGACTGCCCACGATGACCACTGTCCACCCCAAAAGCGCCTTCAATAAGGACGTGAGCGGCAGAACAGAACCATGGAGCAATAGAAGAAGGTTGTGTGGTGTGATGAATCATGTTTTCTTTTAGATCAAGTGGATGGGCGGTGCATGTAAAGTAATCTCGGGAAGAGATGGAAGCAGGATGCACTATGGGAGGAAGGCAAGTTGGCGGAGGCAGTTTTATGCTCTGGGCTATGTTTTGCTGGGAAACCTTGGGTTTTTCCATTCATGTGGATGTTACTTTAACATGTACCATGTAGATTGTTGCAAACTACGTACACCCCATTCAGGGCAATGGTGCTCCCTGATGGCAGTAACCTTGTTCAGCCAGATTACATACCCTGTCACAGTGCAAACATTGTTCAGGAATGGTTTGAGGAGCATGATATAGAGTTCAAGGTTGGCCTTTGCCTCCAAATACCTCAGATCTCAATGCGACTGAGAATCTTTGGGTTGTCCTGGAACAACAAATCCGATCCATGGACGTCCCACCTAACAACTTGCAGGTTTTAAAGGATCTACTGCTATTGTCCCGATGCCAGATACCACAGGAGGTCTTGTGGAGTCCATGTCTCATCGCATCAGAGCTGTTTTGGCAGCACCAGGGGGACCTACATGATATTAGGCCTGTGATTTTAATGTTGTGGTTGATCAGTGTATCTTACTATGTAGAAATGAAAGTAAATATTTTATTGCACGAAGTCTCATGTTTTAACTGATTATGATAGCAGTTTCTTAAGGCAAAATAGACTCTATTCTAGTTCAAAGTAATAAATAAGGAGTAATCTCTGTGGAAACCAATAGAATGTCTATCAACATTTTACACTTTGCACCCAAAATAGCACCTGTTTAGCCTTGATGAATATCATATATATATATATACATATATATATATCAGGGGTCCTCAAATTCTGGCCCCCCAGATGTTGCTGAACTACAACTCCCATGATTCTCTGGCTATCTATGTAATTCAAAGAATCATGGGAGTTGTAGTTTAGCAACATCTGGGGGGCCGGAGTTTGAGGACCCCTGTATTATATTATAGTTTCTGTCAAACAAGCTTGCATCTCCATTCTGCTGTAACTTTACCACAATATCATTATTTCTTGATTCCCTTGGAAAAAATAAAAATACAATTAACAATGGATTTTCCCTTTAAGTAGGATGAATTATGATAGTAGATATGAAACAGTTGGCATGTTGATTATCAAATCCGACTCATTTTGCCAATTGGTTCTACAGGATAGCCTTGGACTACTTCTATTGGGTTTGACATATCAAAATAGGATTCACATTTTCATTGGCTATGTCTTTTTATTGTCCGAGAATTCATACATTTTATATACTAAAAACAAATATCTATATATATGTATAAAATATATAGAGAAAAATCCATTTAACAACGAATGATTTTATAAAACTATTAGACATTACCATATATGTATTAAGTGGTTAAATGATGATGGCATGAAATGTTTACCAGGAAGGATACATTGCTCCTAGCTTTCAAATATATCCTGTGGGATACTATAATAACCAGATGCAATAATCATTTTATCGACCTTGGATGGATGATAATGGAAGCTGATACAGCAGACTTTAGAAGCCCAATCCGATTTTATTTAATTGCACCTGGTACAATCTCTGTCCTTCAAAGTCTAAATTTATGGAGTAGATCAGCACATTTAAAATTTTGTTATAGAAGTCAAGTATTAAATATTTTATTGCTAGATAAACTATGGGCTTTCATAATATGACAAAGTCCAATTAATCTGATTAGCTTCATGTCTATTAGCTTTGAATACAGTGCAGAATTCACCATTCCACTTCATATCCTCTTTGATCAAGGCTACGAATAGCCAGAATCCTAATCTCTCAACACTTACCCCACTAATCTAATTACAGAAGGCTCTTTTTAAGTATTCTCATTTGACTGAATATATTTCAAAATAGGTCGGATGAGAATCTTCATCAAATAGTAAACTTTTATAAGTTAATAAGAAACAGCTATTACATAGAACTGAGTAATTTGTTTTGAAAGGAACAGTTTTAGTAGAGGAACTAAGGCAAAGAGGGCTCTGGTTCAAGAACATTTTTTTGCTGCCTCCATGGTAAAAAGGTGGCCAAAAGGTAGATCTTCAACTGTCCTTCAACTTCCATGATGCCGGGGATCAACCATTTGCTTATCCTTGCAGGGTTGTATTTGTGAGCAGTGTTGCGACAGTCTGTGTGTGAATGAAGGGGTATATTTGTTTGTGGCACTGGCATTTGAATGTAGTTGTTTGTATGTACTGTTGCCATTTGAATACAGTGTTGTATTTGTGTGTAGTATTGGAGTTTGAATGCAGAAGTGTTCTTGTGTGTGGTATTGGAGTTTGAATGCAGAGGTGTACGTGTGTGTAGTATTGGAGTTTGAATGTAGAGGTGTGCTTGTGTGTAGTATTGGAGTTTGAATGCAGAGGTGTGCTTGTGTGTAGTATTGGAGTTTGAATGTAGAGGTGTGCTTGTGTGTAGTATTGGAATTTGAATGCAGAAATGTTCTTGCGTGTAGTATTGGAGTTTGAATGCAGAGGTGTGCTTATGTGTAGTATTGGAGTTTAAATTCAGAGGTGTGCTTGTGTGTAGTATTGGAGTTTGAATGTAGAGGTGTGCTTGTGTGTAGTATTGGCGTTTGAATGCAGAGGTGTGCTTCTGTGTAGTATTGGAGTTTGAATGCAGAGGTGTGCTTCTGTGTAGTATTGGCATTTTGAATGAGGTGAGTGGTGTTGGAATAAGTTACAATATTTATAGCCATCCTAAGCAGGGGCGTATTAGCCGCGAGGCAAACAAGGCATTTGCCTTGGGCGGCATTTTTCAGGGGGCGGCAAAAAAGCCGCCCCCAAATGCCCAGGGCAAATGCCTTGTTAGCCTCGCGGCTAACTGACATCCCGAGCTGGGCGGCAGTGGCTGCAGCGCTGGGCGGGCGGGCGGCCGCCGAGGGAGCTCTTCCCCTGAGCGCTCTGCTCTGCTCAGCTCCCTCGCGCGCAGCCGAGTGAGGCTGGGAGCCGGAATATGACGTCATGAACCCGGCTCCCAGCCTCACTCTGCTGGCAGCGCGCGAGGGAGCTGAGCAGAGCGCTCAGGGGAAGAGCTCCCTCACCGGCCGCCCGCCCAGCCACTGGACCCCAGGGAGAGGAAGAACCCCCCCAGCATTCCCAAAGGTAAGGAGGCTGGGGGGGTTAAATTAAAAAAAAAAAAACACAAGTGAATGTGTGTGTGTGTGTATCTGTTAGTGTTAGTGTGTGTATCTGTTAGTGTTAGTGTGTGTCTGTTAGTGTTAGTGTGTGTATGTTAGTGTTAGTGTGTGTGTCTGTTTGTGTGTGTGTCTGTTTGTGTGTGTGTCTGTCTGTTAGTGTGTATGTCTGTTAGTGTGTGTCTGTTAGTGTGTGTCTGTTAGTGTGTGTCTGTTAGTGTGTGTGTGTATGTTAGTGTGTGTGTGTATGTTAATGTTAGAGTGTGTGTGTCTGTTAGTGTGTGTCTGTCTGTTAGTGTGTGTGTGTCTGTCTGTTAGTGTGTGAGTGTGTGTCTGTTAGTGTGTGTGTGTTTGCCTGTTAGTGTGTGTGAGTGTGTGTCTGTTAGTGAGTGTGTGTCTGTTAGTGTGTGTGTGTTTGCCTGTTAGTGTGTGTCTGTTAGTGTGTGTGTGTGTTTGCCTGTTAGTGTGTGTGAGTGTGTGTCTGTTAGTGAGTGTGTGTTTCTGTTAGCTAGTGAATGCGTATCTGTCAGTGAATGTGTGTGTGTGTGTATTTAGAAGGCGGAGCAGGGGGGAAGGGTTGGGTGGCGGTTGCGCGGGTGGGGGTAGCACGGGGGGTGCCTGAGTTTTGTCCTGCCTAGGGCAGCACAAAACCAGGATACACCACTGATCCTAAGGTTTACATACATTTTTGGAACACATGGGTGATGACAGCAGGATATAGAAGAGGGATGGCTGTGGTTGATGGGAATCTGAGGCTCAAGGCTTTCTAGTTTAAAAAAAATAAATCTTTATTTTGAGAAATGTTAAGAAAGCAAATTCAGAATGGCAGATAACTCCAGGCTTTCTTGGTCCCTCTCCCACTCCTCTCTGTCTTCTCCTCTGACCCCCTCCCCCCCATATGGCTGGCTGCACGCTGGCAGGAACTTGCTTCCTCCAAGCACTACTGTTCAGGGGAACTATCGATCTGATAGGGCTTATTGAAGGGCTGCAGGTGGCCCTATGTGTAAGTTTAGTTATCACTCATAGTTCCGCCACTGGACACACTTTCCATTTTTCTATTGGAAATTATTTTATTGAGGGTGCACGATGACCGTGTAACTAAAGATAACAAAATGTATCTCTAGTGAGCATTTTATCATCCATATACTTATCTATTTCATTTCTGCAGTATGCAATCAGTAGTAATCAGACTGTAACTCCCTGTCAGCCGATAGCACTTGACTATTAAATTACCCAGGGTTGAACAGAATACTTAGGATTTATGTCTAAATAGACTTTGGGAGAAAAAGCTGGCTATAAACTCAGAATATTGTCACAGTATGGAAGGTATTGAACTGGCAAGACAAGTTTTGTTTGGCAAAAGCATTTATGGGTGTTTTTTGGACTGTCTTTTGCTTGTCTGATTTATTTGTTGATGTTTTACTAAAGCATATAAATATAGCTATTAATGTTGATTTAATCAAGTGAGAATAAACACGAGTCATTCTGTCTGCAGTAACAGTAGTATTGGAGAATATGTTTGGACAATACTGTAATCAAGAACTCAGCTTCTCCTGCTAATGAGAGACTTGGGTAAGAATGGTGAAAGGAATATAAATATATCATGTAATATAAAACAATTTAGAACAGTGAAGTGTGTATTATGGGCAGATCGTGCTATGGAGGAGTTCTGGAGATATCACAATAAACTACAAAACAAAATATCTCCATAACCCTGAGATGGCATTACATTAACCATTATGTAATATCTCTGGAATGCTGTCTTACAGCTGCAGCAAACTATGCAGGGCTGCTGTTATAAGCAACTCTCAGACATGAAGGTAGGCTCATGCCATAAAGCAAAGTGCTTATGGTGCTTAGAGTGAGCCTTTAATGCAGGGGAGCCCAAAAGGTAGATGTTGTAGAACTACAAGTCCTCAAACACTTTCCCAACTTTTAGAAGAGAAAAGCATCATGGGCATTGCAGTTCTAAGACCTCTACCTTTTGGGCACCCCAGCTTTAGGATCACTCTAAGCACCATAAGCTCTTTCATTATGGCATGAGCCTGCTTTCATGTCTGAGAGTGGCTTATAACAGCAGCATTTTGCATAGTTTGCTGCAGCTGTGAGATAGCATACCAGAGCTGTCAATCAGGAAGCCTAGCACACTTCTTTCCAGATTACTAATGTCAATTTTGTCCCTGTGGCGTTTGTATCATATACATGCCACATGTGTTACATAGTTACATAGCTGAAAAGAGACTTAGTCTATCAAGTTCAGCCTTCCTCACAAATGTTGTTGCTGCTGATCCAAAAGAAGGCAAAAAAACCTGGTCTGAAGCGCTTCCAATTTTGCCACAAACTAGGAAAAAATTCCTTCTTGACCCCAAAATAGCAGTCAGATGTCTCCTTGGATCAAGCAGCTATTACCCCACTAATTAGAAATCATATATCCAACAGTATGTAAAACAGAGAAGAGTCTCTTTCTTCTCCAATGAGACAGCCAAGCCAATAAACCAATTGTTTGCATGTGCTGTCCCTCAACAAATACTATGCTGAGAAGGGACCAAGTGGGGAGATAATTACACTGTCACCATCTAGCGAGGAACTGAATTAAGAGCACCATTTGTGAATAGCATCTTGCTGGACAATTTCAATCCCACCAGGGATTGTGGCATAACGCACATTGAGGTATAATGCACAATGTGGTATAATGTTGTTCAGTACAGGTTTTTGCACATGACCTGAATGTAAATGCTTAATTTGTTAGCTCCATTAAAAAAAAAAAACTGCAAGGCTATGGACTTATCTGGACAATGAATATATGGACAGACAAGTCAAATGCTTTCCACATACGTGGGTTTTTAGGATATATTTAATGAATGTAAAAAGCAGAACCTTAAATGTTTTGTACGGCAATGTGTTAAACGAAAAAAGACAGACAAACTGGAAAACAAAATAGATCTTTTAATAGTAATAATCATAATATTACATTCGATATGCATTTATTTACTTTATTTTCATACAGTCTGTGTACAAACATAAAAAGCTTGACTTGAGGAACATTATCAACTCCACAACTTGCAATAATATCAGCGGGATTGAAGTAAAACGGTGATGAGTTTGGCTACAATGTGCACGTTAAGGCTGTTCCCAAGCAGTCTATATTGTTGTTTTGTTGTTATCTTCTCAGGAAAACCTAAAGGGAAATAAATAGATTACACACAGGAAATGCTGCATTTAAAAAAAAAAAAAAAAAAGCCTGGACTATAGCCTGTACTTAATGTGTACCTGAGAAAGGTAAGTAGTTCTGTCCTTCAGCTGCCATAATACAGCTTTCGTTATTCCATGAGTGTTTCCCCACTGACATCCAATAGGATTGGACTCAAGGTAAATTCATGGCTGTTGAGTTGGTTGCGAGTACTGGCAGCTCCCAAAGGGTCACTAAAAACCAGAACCACTACAGCTTAATGTAGTGGTTCAGAGGCAAAGTGACTGTTTCTGCAGGCTGAACCGAGTAAACACTACCGTTTATGAGAAATGGCAGTTCAATTGTTGCCTAATGCCACCTCTAGTGGATATTACGAGGACAGCCACTAGAAGGGGCTTCCTACATGCAGTCCTGCAAAGATTGAGACAATGCATCTTCTTGAGTGGCTTGGCGATTCGCGCACATGTGCAATAGCCTCCCTATGCTTCCTTATGAAGCATTGGCTTGGCTAAGATCATCAGTATTTATGATCTCAGCCAGTGCAGGAGGTGTGACTGCAACAAGAAAGAAGGTAAGTGAATGTTATTTTGCCTATTTGGGGAAGGTCCCAGATATCTAAATAATACTTACACTGTATGGATTTGTATTTCTAATGTTAGAGTGTTCCTTTACTGCATTTTGTGATAAACTCAGCAGATTCATAGGTAATAAGAATTCTACTTGCCTACCTAGGACTAACACATGCTGTAGCTGAAGGTCATAAAAAGAAGAGTTGATATGGTTTATTATTAAGATATGTCTACATACCAAACTGCAGAGGAAATCCATGAAGATTAGCTATTTCTTTGGGAGTAAAATATCTTAATTTCAAGGTGGATAATTTTGCAAGTTTCTCCTCATCGTTCAACGTCTCCAGTGATTCATATGCAGAACTTATCTGAATTTCAAAATATAAAAAAAATAATAATAAAAAAAAAAAAAACATATAAAATAAGCTTGCAAAATTATAATGTAACAATTTATTTCAGAGGGAAATGTTATTGGATGCAGTTAGAAAAGCTGAACTTCAATTAAATCAAACACCAATGCAGGCTATCATCGTGTTCCTCTGCAGATTCTACAATGACCAGGCAGATTAAAATGTCAACAAACTCCCAATAAATGTATTCAGCCCAACAAGCAGAAACAGTGTTTGTGAAAATCACTGAGACATTTTTTAACTTGGCTGAACATTTCACCCGTCCACTTAATAGGATCGCTATTGTCCAGAACTAATAAACCATTCAGTGACACAGACAGGCTTTTGGCTGCCAATGCTCTACAAAAATAAAACTACCATTCTCCAACAGTAATGAGGGGCAATTTTATCAGGAAGGTAAATGATATTTACCATCTCAAAAATATCTTCCACATCAAAGATGACCAGAGCTGAGGGTCACTAACATTAAAGCAGAATAATAATTGTGATCCAATCATTCCAGCTCATCGAAATTTAATTTGTAAATGTTCCAGAAAATAGTTGCCTTGACAATATGCGGTTCATCTAAAGTCTATGCAACAAAACAAATGTTTGACCTTTAAACAGGTACCGAGTCTGTTCTAAAATAATAATGACTGTATTTCATGTGACGCTTCTACTGGGAACTGCAAATTAAGATTCAAGATATAATAATTGTTGTATTTATAATTTTTGAGCAAAAAAACAAAAAACAGCCAAACAAACCTCAATGTCTGTAGCGGTCTGTAAGACAGAACCCGTGCCTTCCACATAATGCCCGTAACTAAAAAAATTAAATTAAAAAATTATCATTTTAATAAACCATTTGGAAAAACACATTTTGTTTTTTATTCTAACTAATCAAAGAAATTCCAAATTGACATTCAATATAGTTAAATGGCAGTTCGTAGGTGTGTCCTCTATCACCAATTGCAATTTTTAGCATATTTTTTTTTCCTGCCCTCAGTAAATCCAACTGTTAGTGTGAGAGCAGTATGTGACACTCCAGTAGAAGCCTCTACCTGTGGTTGATGTACCAGTATGTGTAACACAATGACTTAACCAAATTTGACTTGAGGATACTGCCATAAATAAAACTTTTCAGCCATATTTAACCTAGCAACTACTACACACTAGTGCTCCTCAACAAAATACAATATCCTTTAAATGAGATGGGGAAACTCTAGTCTTTGGGTGAATGGGCTTTATATTCTAAATGCATCTTCTGATAACCAAGACCCTCAGCTGGTGAACTTTTAAAGGAATGTGATATTTTGTGACACCATACCACAATTCACTGTCAGACTGTTTTTGAGGGTGAAGAGGTCTGACCTGCTGCCCAGCCCCAAGCCATATTGCTAATGTGTCGGCTGCAATACTGCATAGACAATATCCGTTTCATTCATATTTAGACACCAATGCAAGGCTGTGAGTGAAGAGCTGGGCTCCTAGTGCTTTGGGGAAATCTAGTTTTTGTCAAAACACATGAAAACAGTATAATACAGAACCAGGGAAAAGTGTCTACAGCCTCATAGGACCATAACCACTACAATGGGCTTTAGAGGTTATGGCTCAAAGTCTCTCTCTTTAACTAATCAGTGGGCAAGAACTAAATGTAAATCTGACCACTAGATTGGTCTATCAAGACCTTAATTATACTGACATAACCATAGGTTTGGGAATTTCATTAGGCTTTATAAATCAATCAAGCATCAGACACATGTATCCCCATATACTAAAGAGAATGACTGCAGATCACAAATGTTAGTACTCACCCTTTTGTAAAGCAAGTTGAACGTCTACTCGTTGTTTGGACAATATCCAGAATTAAAGCGTATCGCAGTAACGACTTTGGCGGGAGAAAAAATTGGCTCATGTCTTTTTCTTCATTTTTCTCAAGAAACTCTTCTAACATTTGGGTGGAAGAGTCATTGTTCTGGCTTTGTTTCCTCTCTAGTTCCTCAGCTGTTTCCAACTTGTAGAGAAAGGTTCCATCTGAGTGCGGTATGGGGTTGCACTGAGGATGGCTTATCGCATTTTGCTGATTTACATCTGTTTCAATATTTCCTCCCAAAGACTTTACTGTAACAGAGCAAGGAGATTCAAAGGAACTCATAGTGTCACAGGCAGGAAATCCTTCAAGTATCTAATGGGAAAGTCAAAATGACAAGCTGTTAATATTAATACGCAAATATGAATCAACTTGATATTCAGAGCAAGTGCAGAAATCAATGTAAAGTCATTTTAAATTATATACATACACACATAAATATACAGATACAATTTGTATCTTGTAATACCTTTTTTATTGGACTAACAGAATTTTGTAAGGACTTTTGGGAGAACCTCCCTTTCTCAAGTCTAAACCATTTCTGAGCAAAGACGACACGTAGAATTCAAAGTTGAGTTGTGATACAGGGGTTAAAGCAACATGAGTGCGAATAAGACACAGGTTTTATAGAAAATAGACACCATTCTCACAGAGGGTTGTAAAAACCTTGTGTGAAGATCACATAGTGAATGGGGAAAGATAGAAAAAAGAAGAAGAAAAAAAACAGTACAGAAGATGGTGCTAGAAGAGGAGAGTAAAAAATTAAATTACTTAGATTAATAGTGTATGAATTCACATCCAAGGGTTCTAGAATGTGCACGAAGGCCTATATACAACATACACATATGCACAGACACAAACACACATACGTAGTGTAAATGCACACCCACATATATATGCATACATTTTAGTATGGGAAAGCATATGTCTATACATAGTACTTTATATATTGATATAATACACGTCATTGGAATGCATTTTAAAATATGGATACATATGACAGAACAGTGAGGTAATGAATGGTCGGGGGGGTCATATAAAATGTTGGTAGTGGGACAGGAAACCCAAAACAACATTTAGTCTTCTATTCTTGCTGTTAAAAAAATGTAATAATTCTGACTTCAAAAATTTTTCTTTCTTTTTTAAAATCCCCTTTCAGTATTTTGATTTGAAGATCCTTGATTGAGTGGCCGGGCTGGGTAAAATGGTGTCCCGAAGGAGTGCACTAGTATTCTTCTTTGTGGTGTTTAATGGAGTGTCTGTGCATATTCATTCTGCCATTTAATTGCTGGGTGGGTTACCCAATGTAGCATCCGAGGTGGCATTTGGTGTATTGAATCATGTATACCACATGTGAAGGAGTATGAACCCTTAATGCAGAAGTTTTATTGTTGTGGATGGCTGCGTTGTCTGTGTATATGTGCTGGCAGTTTTTTTGCAGCGCGGTTTTTAACATTGTCTGTTTCCTTTATTCTTCTGATCAGTGGGTAGTTTCCTGATGAATAGTTTTTGTTGGAGGTTTGGTGGCTGCCTAAAGTCCAAAATGGGCATCTGCCTCATCTTCTGCTAACATTGGTTGTAGATCTTTAATGATTTTCCGTATTTCCTCAAGATCTGGGTTGTAGGTGACCACAAGTGGTACACGTGTACATATCTATTTCTATCTGTACTGCAGCAGTTTTTACAGCAGAGTGGATTTGTTTGGTAATAATCCTTGGTTTGTAGCCTGTCTCAAAGATTGGGAAAGTGCATTATAGATGTAAATTACGCTCATTTGGGTCAGAACATATGTGATGGTACCTAGTTGCTTGGCTGTAGATGTTGCCCTGTTTAGTATGGGAGGGGTGAAAGCTGGAGCTCTGATGGTAACTGCATCTGTCTGTGGGCTTTCTGTAAACCGAGGTGTGGGCTGTGCCATTGTTACATGCCACAGTGGTGTCCAGAAAATACACAGATCTTGTGAATATTCCATTTTTAGTTTGATTGATGGAATGAGTTAAGAGAGTCATGGAATTGTATGAGGTTTTTCTTCGCTTTCAGTCCAATATTTGTATGGCTTGGTGTGCTGTATTTCTAGGAATCTCTGTTCTAGATCTGCTATAAACAGATTAGCATATTGGGGTGCCATCTTAGTACCCATTGTTTGTAGGTAAACCTCATTACAACTGAAATAATTATGTGTGAGGATGAATAGTGCCAGTTCTGTGATAATTTGGCAGCTGTATTTTTGGTTGTCAGTATAAGAGAAATTGGAAACAAGCATTAATGCCATCTGTATGTGGAATGTTGCTGTACATAGATTCCACATCCATCGTTACAAGGATGGTGTTCGCAGGGAGATTGGTGATTTGGCTGAGCTTGTTAAGGAAGTCAGTGGTGTCTTTTAAGAGGCTGTTGGAGACAAAAGGTTTTAGGGTATTTTCTATCAGACCTGAGATCTGTTCTGTGAGAGTTCTAGTGATGTCGCGAAACGTTCGCGAACTTCCCGCGAACGGCTCACCACGGTTCGCCACGAACTCCGGTCAGCTGACACATCCCGGCCAATCTCCAGCAGACCCTCCCTCCCAGACCCTCCCACCTCCTGGATAGTGTCATTCATTTTCTAGTTGTTCTGCAATATATAGATTATCACGTTGTTTTTGGAGTAGATATTTTTTTTTGTGTTGTATGCTAAAAAAATTTGTTGTAGAGATGGTGGATAAGATAGTTCCTTAGTTTCTCACTACGTTTACCCAGGTTTCCAGCATACTGCTATTTGTGCGTAGTAGCAAGTGGATTTTTGATGTTTAGTCCTTTGGGGATCAGCTGTCTTTTCTTGCAGATGGATAGAAAGTATATGTCGCTGTTAAAATGTACTTCTTTTGAGGTCATCTTATAGATTTGCTACATATATATATATATATATATATACACATACATATACATACATACATATATACACACACACACACTACTTGTATTATCATAAAGCAAAACAACACACTCGAACATTCTAAATTTCATGGTTTAGCACAAAACAAGAGAAACTTATAATAAGTTAAGAAGAAAACACACACACACAGAAAGAATACATAATGTAACCGTGAATAAGCAACCAAATCAAAGCATTATACATATAATAACGATATGGTGTGGGCAGTTGCATTGTATTATTATTTGGAAGCTTACTTGATTGGTGACCTGGAATGCAAATTGTTCTTTTTGAAGCTTTGCAATCAGAAAGTACCGCAGTCTTGAATTTGGAATCCCAATCTAGTTAAATGAAAACAAACACTTCAAAACATGCCCCAATTAAAAATATAATTAAAGATGAGAAATGAGCAGGAACATGCTGGAAAACAAGAAAATTTATATCTGCCTAAAAAAAGACATAACAACTAAACAAAAACAGAAAAACAAGCATTTGAGTGAGTAATTCTAAAGCAGTTACATAAATGGCACTTTATACATTTTGCGTTCTAGTTTTTAAAGTGTGAGGTGAAATGTAACTGCAAAATTTAGGACATTCTTTCTTCATTGTTTTGCTAAAAAAAAAAACAAAAAAAAAAACACATTATTCCATTTCACAAAATTCAAAACAATACTGTTTTCTCAAATATTCCTCTATAGTCTTATCCATCCTCTATGTTCCTTCATCTCCATAACATTTACCTTGCTTAGTATATTTGGAACAATGCTTAAAGGGACACTATGGTCTCCAGATTGCAGCTTCACCTAGTTGTTTTGGTGAGAGTAGTCAGTCCCTACAGGCTTTTGGCAGTAAACATTGTCTTTTCAGAAAACAGTCAGTGTTTACATTGCTGCCTAGTGTGATCTCCAGTTGCCACTAGAGGTGTTTCCTGGGTAAGTGCTGCACAGTGTGCAGCATTGACGTTCAATGTCTCCACACCCCACATGGGGACACCGAACTTTCTCCATAGAGATGCACTGATTCAATGCATCTCTATGAGGAGATGCTGATTGGCCAGCAAGGCATTAGGCCCTGCCCCGGCCCGCCTCCTTGGCAATCTCAGCCAGGAATACATGTTTTGTTTCTGACCCTATAATGTTCGTATAAAAACGCACTCATTTAAAGATGACTCACTTGACTCAGCTGACTTCAAAATTTTAAATTTTCTTAAATCACATTCACCTCAACCTAGCTAACTTCATAAACTGTCCCCCTGTTTGATGTCATAATATTCTCTAAGATATTAGACATCAATTGACAATATGACCTACTGTGCTCATTATTGAGTTTTACATATGAGTAATACCAATGTATGGATGGCAGGGTACTATAAAATAATTGGTTAAATAAAATAAAATGTTAAAATAAATATAAAATGATTAAACATGCACATTATAGTATTGCCAGTTTAAGTGAGCTCTATAAAGATCCAGGCATTGTATGTTTTCTTGTACCATTACTTTTCCCAGCTATCAACAAACACCAACAAATTATTACAGAAACATAACAACGTTTACAAGTTGCATATGTTATCTAGTCCTTAAGATCCATAAAATGTAAGCATCTAATATATTGAATTTCTACAGTGTGTTTGGCCACCATTTAAACTGAGCATAATAAGCTTTAGTGAATTTATTAAACATAGCACCTAGACTGGGCTACTGTAGAAGAGGGAAGCTGGCCAGGCATCAGCCAGCAGATAACAAGCTGCATGTATATTGTTTCCAACCACTTATCAGAAGTCACAGATTTGGCAGGACAGTATATATTTTGGACAACAGCAAAGAGTCTGTGTTAAGCGCAGACTAAGAACTATGTAGTCTACTGAACTGCCCATAACAGAGCAATTGCTACAGCACTCCATGCATTGACAACCTTGCAGAAGCTGCCGCCCCTCCATAGACTAAAGCTGGCAAATATTTCTTGCGTTGGGTATATTTTTTTCATTTTTTATTTATATGTCATCATCTCTAGGGTTACCCCTTATCTGCATGTTTTTGGTCTTCGGTCAGACCTATAATCCTGTTTATGTGGTTCCTCTCTAACCTTGCAGAAGTGCCTGTCAACGCAATGCCCAAGCAAGGTGCTTCCTGGGGTAGTGCTGCATGGATGGTGGAAGCCCTTTCCACATGTCACTTGCTCGTCCCCACCTCAGTATATTGGTGGTGCTCTAGCTTCTAACTTCATGGTAACGGTTTTAAGACAGGATCACAGACTTATGTGAGCGAGAAGGGGTTAAACACAGTTTAGAATCATTCTGTATTTGGTGAACCTGGCAGATTATGCTATCACAGGGCAAATGGGAACTATTTTAATTATACTTTTCTGGATATCACAACCTACCAATGTGAAACCCTATATGGTGCTCCTATAAGCCGTGAGTGACAAACCATAAATTATAGTTAACAATATTTAACTTACACACGTTGGTGATAAGAGAAACTCTTGATAGTGATATCCACAAGTCTGTAATGTTTTAATTAAGTTTTCTCTGAAAAGGACAAAAATGTTTCATTGTTTAAAAGCTGTAATTGGGGTCATAAACAGCAAATTTATATCATGAGCTCTTCCCACAGAACAAGAAAAAAAAATACATTGTAAAAAATCAATAGAAGTGTAGAAATAATGGTTTAATATGCTGTCATTTTGCAATGTTTGCATCCACAGGAACTACAGGTTCTCTGTGAATAAATATTCTCTGATGAAGTGCGTATAAAACAGTATAAAATACATTAGATTGCTTTTTCCCCTTCCTCCCTGATCATCACAACTGTTTTTATTGTAATTATGTTGAATAGAGGAATTTCTATTTTTGCATTAACCCCGTAAGGACCAAACTTCTGGAATAAAAGGGAATTATGACATGTCACACATGTCACGTGTCTTTAAGGGGTTAAATTCTACAGGTAGAGGTTTATTTAAATTGCCCATTCAGGGTTCCAGACCTGTATTTACTTTTCTGCATGGAGATGGGGACTTCACTCCAGCCTCCCTGTGATGCAGTTCATGCACAATTTGAAAGTACAAATTAAAGTTTACATCAAGCTTTCAGTTTTTACTGTCATTCTTCATATTTATTCACAAAACATGTTTTATAGAAACGAAAAACAAAATTTCAGATATCGCAGTTATTGTAGATGCTAATTTCGTTACAGGACAGTCATCTAAAGGGTTTACTGTGTGGCCATATCCTAAGCCTTATGGGGCAGAACAGATGAGTGTGTATGGTGTTAGATGAAGTTAAAAAGAACGTTCATGCTTGCTGGTGATTTTACTATCTCACGTTCAGGCCTCCCATCCATCCCAATTTCACCAGGATAGTCCCCATTATTTCGGTTCTGTCCTGCCGTCCCGACTTCTACTTTTGGGTACACCCAGGAACTGTCCCCAACAAGCAAAGCATGAGTGCATCAATAGACACGCTTGACCTACGTACAGGGTACCAGGACTCTGCAGGGAGTAATAAAACAGTCTGCCCTCAGTGGGCTGGCCTGATTAATTGGCAAGCAGCCAGGATCCAGTGATGCAACAGTATGGCCAGTCCGCCCCCTGTACACCCCTCCCACCGGTGTCCCGCTTCTCTGAATGCCAGAGTTTGTAGGTATAATTAATTCTCATTTAAATCACACGTTATCATTGATACACTTGGAGAATTAAAATATAACTTACATGCTGTAAGTCTATAAAAAGGACAGCAAAAATGCTAAAACCGAGAAAATTTACTTTAGCTATACACACACAAAACACATAACAAATAGTACCTGGCTACTGATGATTCAAATCCTTTCACATTTTCTAAAAGAATGTAAGAGGGAAGCTTCTTCAACCTGTAAATATAAACAGAGTTAACAAAAATAAAAATGATAAAGCGTTACCTCATTTCTTGAGTACAATAACAGGAGTCAGAAGTTGTGCTGCTGTCTGCAACAGTATTATTTAAACAGACAAGTTGTTTTTCTTTTCCCTATACAGTGTCCTAATGGAAACCGAATTGCAGACTGCTGCCTGATATGAAATACAGACGTTCTAGAAGAACTGAAGAATACCTGGGCATGCCACATAATGCCAGTGCTCCATGATGTCTGCATATGTATTTGTTTCTGAAAGTACTTTTTTTATACGTGTTTGAGTTGAAGTTGAAGCATTAGCGCTTCTTTCACATGTGGTTGTGTGTTTATTTCTTATTTTATCAAACACTAAAGGAACATTATAGGATCTGGAACACACATATGTATTCCTGACCCTATAGTGTTAAAACCACCATCTACCCACCCCCCCACCTCCCTAAATATAGTAAAATCTTACTTGTATTCAAGTCTGCAGCTGCTGCCTTTTCCCACGATCTGCCTGCTTAGCTGACTTCATCAGAAGTGATTCTCTGAGCCAATCACAATGCTTTCCCATAGCATTGGCCGAGACTGTCAAGGAGGCAGATCAGGGGCAGAGTCAGCACAAGTCAAATATAGCCCTGGCCAATCAGCATCTCCTCATTTAGATGCATTAAATCAATGTATCTCTATGAAGACAGTTCAGTGTCTCCATGTAGAAGGTAGAGACACATTGTGCAGCACTGCCCCAGGAAGCACCTTTAGTAGCCACCTGAGAAATGGCCAGTGCAGGTATCCCTAGGCTGTAATGTAAACACTGCATTTTCTCTGAAAAGACAATGTTTACTGCAAATAGCCTGAAGGGAATGATTATACTTACCAGAACAAAGTCAATAAACTGTAGTTGTTCTGCAGACTATAGTGTCCCTTTGAGTAGAAAACATGTACCTTGGGAGGATGTCAAGAATATAAAGGAAACTCTTTGCTCGCGGATCAGACACGTCACCCTGTAAGCCTATCCTAAGAGAAAAAAAAGCACATTACAACAACGGCAGATGTCTCGCCATATATTCAACACATGGAATAAAGAAGGATCATAGTGAGACGAGTGGAGCATTTATACTTCAGGTCTGGACCTGATTGTCTCTTTGAACAAAGGTTTTTCCTCAAAGAACTCCGCAGCATCCTAATGGTTAACCACGTACGTGTAATAAGGAAAAGCACTGTGTTTCAGTTCTCCTTTTATTCTGGTATGTACACTAGGTATGAATGTGCATCTCCCATTCTCCCAAATGTGTAAGTTAAAAGCCTATATAAAAGCAGTAAAGATGTATTAGATTTGGGGAAGACTCCCCCACCTCACCCCCGTCCTGTTGCCTACAAATGTCATTTTACAATGGAAGAATAAAAGTAATTTAATTAAAGGAATTAATTACCAACATGCTATTATTTGGGGGTTTACAAGGGCATGTCCACGCCCCCTATTTTATTATTATTTATATAGCGGCCAGAAAAATTCCGTAGCGCTGAACAATGGGAAATTATTTAGTGCTCCCACCCACTGCCCATAGTTGGGGACTTGGGAGACACTAGCTCGCAACCCTTTATTATAAGTCGTTCCTGGGTGGAGGCCAGGGGGGCTGCCACTAGGTCCCCACTCTTTATTATTAATATTAAGAACCCCACCCATTGCCCATGGTCGAGAGCCATGGGGGCTGACACTACGTCCCCACTCTATTATTAATATTAAGAACCCCACCCATTTCCCATGGTTGAGAGCCATGGTGGAAGGGGCGGGACGCTAGGTCCTTCCCCAGTAATATTTAAAGAAGCGTATTCTTGTGACTGGGCAGCAACTCCCAGTCACTAGTTTTAAAAAAAATTAGTAAACTTAGTCATCAACCACATGGCAGGTGGAGGCGTAGGGAGGTACAATACCTTCATTATAGGATTATTATTTTTTTTCCCCATATGGTGGCTCTGGCCAGTTGCCACATAATTAAAGCTTGCATTGCCGAGGTGTTCATCCAGACCAAATTCAGGCCTGTTCCTGGGCCTCATTTACACAATCCAGATATTTGAATTTTATCAACAATGTCAGGATTTTGGAGTACACATATGCCCATATGTAGTCTGATGGTTTTTCCTAATTCGGACCTTTGTAAATAACCTGATAAAATACTTTAAAATATTAAAAAACTGTTAACACATGGAAATAATAGTCTTGATCAGGGATAGCACGTGTGCCATGCATGAGGTACTGCCTGAGCCAAACAGGCTCTGGCCCATCAGGAGTCCCAGTGAGGCCCAGGAATTCGCAGTGGAGTAAAGCAGGCTGCAGCAGCTATCTCAGCTCCTGCCCCTGACCTGTACCTGGCCAGCCTGGTTCCCAGAAGCCACACACACACTGCTAGATCTACACAGAGCTGCTGAAGAACACTCATCCTCATACAAATAATACAAACAGCCCACATACAAACACACACAGTCCCCACAAACACAACACCACTGACAATTCACATACACGCACACAACTCCACCAGCAGCCTCTCACATGCACTACCACAAACCGCCACACACACCACCAAACTCACAATGTGACATAACATATCATCCAGACACAATTTCACAAGCAGCTCCGATACACAGCCCATATTCATAGGTATCATACACAATACCCCAAACTACTCATAAACATATACAATATAACAGCCCACATACACTAAAATCTAACATTACAAAGCAACTGCAGCACCAATAAACACAAACACAAGCACAATATGACAACACACCTCAATTAAAAAAAAAAAAATAGGACCGGCATTCCAAGGGACATTAAGATCTTGTTTTGGTAAAGTACTACTAAAAGGTTTTCAACCCTGGTCTAGATGTTATCACCGCATGAAGCAATGTTTTATTAAGGTTAAGAGGATAACGGACTATCAGCAGTTTGGCTACAACTGATAACTGTGTACAGTGCGACATGAAGAAACCATGTTAGTATGATAATGGTTATTACAAAAACATACCTTGTAAACGGCTGGCATGGCGGGCTCATCAAGATCATGTCAAAATCCAAAGCATCAAACTCCTTTAATGTTATTCCCTGTCATAAAGAAACAAAACGTCTCATTGGAATGTTTGAACTCCAGTTTAATGGAAATTTTGATGTAACATAAAAACACACTCTATCAAACGTATGTCCTGTTTGCAGCAAATGTGCTACAATATTATTGTGATCACCAGTCAGGTTCAAAAGAATAAAAACTACGAAAGAGTAAAAAGTGTATTTTAGTGTTTACAGTATGGACTCAGGAGATAAAATAGAAACAACAAACTTGATAATGACATATTCATATTGAGATGCTGAGTAAATTAGATGATGGGGATGTAACGCACTGTCCCCCTCGTGTTTCATGGGAATCTTTCAAATGCTTAAAATAATCAATATTTCAATATATGGGATGTAAGAATGTAAAGTCATTATACGCAAAAGGAATGAAGACCAGCACTATTACTAAACAAAGCTCATACCTGGAAAAGGGATTCATTTTTTTTCTACAGTGTTAAGCACTGAACACATTTATTGTACTTGGTACCAAAGGTTGTGGTAATCAAAATCAATATGTCAATTATTTGATAAGATATGTTGGCGCTTTATAAAAGCCAGCAATGATAAAAATATCATCAAATAATAAGATGATTAGAAATGTCCAAAAAAGAGAATTTCCTAACAACAAACACAAGGTTGAAGCTGTGATAATATAATGTTAATAGATAGCTATGCACGTGTCAGATTTGGTAATGTAATCAAGGATCGAATAAAAGAGCTGTGTTCAGAATTAGGTGGAATTTAGTTGTGTGCAAATATACTATACAGTGTGTATATTCCTCATCAACTCTGAACTAAATCGAACGTTGGTCATCACTCAAGTACCGTCCCCATCTCTCCTTCCTATGAATCTAAACTTGTTTCTTACAATGTGTTTGTTTTATTACTTTTATATATCCAGTGTACACAATATCCGAATACAATTTCCTCTTGCAGGATTTACCACCGATATTTTCTTTTTTATTTCTTTCCACAATCCCTGTGTAATTTCACTATTCTCTTCTACTCAGAATACATTATTTCCTATTACACAAGTATGTCCTGTCAAGGCCCCTGTGCTCTGCCAAAGACCTACGTATATCCCCTGTCCGTACTCTCACCTCTGATGCTCGCCTCCAAGACTTTTCCATGGCTGCACCTCTTCTGTGGAACTCCTTTCCCTTTGCCGTAAGACTTTCACCCAGTCTACACTCATTCAAAAAATCATTGAAAACTCACTTCTTCAAGAAAGAATATCAGTTAAACTGTTTGCAGGTTTTTATCCCCAACCCCCATGACTCCTCTCCTTCAACTGTCATTTTACCTTGTTTGCCTCTTTTTATGGGAGCCCAAGAGCTGGCCGGCTGGCCACCTTTGGGCTCCCCCGGGAGGCTGCGGGCGGTTGTTTCTCGGGCAGGCGGCGAGGGACCACTTTCCCCTGAGCTCTCTGCTCAGCTCCCTCGCGTGACCCACAATAATGCCGGGAACTGGAATATGACGTCATATTCCGGCTCCCGGCATCACTCTGCGCCGTGCAAGGGAGCTGAGCAGACAGCTCAGGGGAAAGTGCTCTCTCGCTGAAAACAGCATGTCCGGCCGCCTTCCTGCCCAGCAGCCCCACTGGACCCCAGGTGAGAAATCCACCCAGCTATCCCAAACATAGGGAGGCTGGGTGGATTTAAAATTTAAAAAATAATAATAATGAGTGTGGGGAAATGTGCGTCAGTGAATGTGAGTGTGTGTGTGTTAATGAATGTGAGTGAATGTGTGTAAGTGAGAGTGTGTGTGTGTGTGTGTGTGTGTGTGTTTCAGTGAATGTGTGAGTGTGTGTGTGTCAGTGAGTTTGTGTGTTTCAGTGAATGAGTGTGTCAGTGAATTTGAGTGAGTGTGTGTGTGTGTCTGTCTGTCAGTCAGCGCCTGTCAGTCAGCGCCTGCGTCTGTCAGTGAGAGTGTGCGTCTGTCAGTGAGTGTGTGCATCTGTCAGTGAGTGTGGGTCTGTCAGCCAAAGTGCGGCCTTGACAGGAAGGGGTGGGGAAAATTTAAATTAGGGGAGGGTGCCCGAGCACCGTCCAGCCTAGGGCAGCACAAAACCTAAGTATACCACAGGAGGTATCCCTAGGCTGTAATGTAAACATTGCCTTTTCTCTTACATAAAAATGCCTGCAGTGAATGATTATACTCACCAGAACAACTACATTACACTGTAGTTGTTCTGGTGACTATAGTGTCCCTTAACGTCCCAATGTGTTTCATGTGCTCAGAACATAATATCTAGTAGAATGCACATTAGTCCCACTCCATGATTTTTTGTTTATTTTTAAGTCGTTATAACTATTAGAAAAATTACAGGAAATTGACAGGAAGGTTTTATGGATATCCCTCTTTCTAAGGAGTACTAAATGTTAGAATTTAAAATATATATTTTAAATACTGCTCAGTTGATTTAAATAATGTAAATTTTCACTAAAATATTCTCAGTTGCTTTTAAATACAACTCATACAACTTAAAAACTGTTTTGTTGCTGTATAATGCAATCAATTTCCTATTTTGTTTGATAAATACACCAAAGAGAAGGGCTTGATATAAGAGCAGCTAAATGTATGATAAATTGTAAGCACAGACAAGTGTATCCACTACATTTGAGATTTCAATTCCAAGTAGTGCACTAGACGTCTTTCATTTGAGACTAAATACAGTACAGTTCTAATAAGTTACATAGAGAATAATGTTTAACACATTTTGTGCTTCACTTCAGCAATTTACTGAAGTGCTGATTTATCATTTAACCTTTGTACTATAACGAATGATATTGTTATGGCCATTTTCTCAGAATCACCTGTCAAGTGTTCTTTAACTGAAGATCTAATCCCTGCACAAAAATACTGCGATAAGGAATACACATACTGCACATACTTTGTAAAATTGCAACACAATCTAGATTGATACCTTGAAGATGAGGCTGCACAAACTGCATATTATATATTAAAATATTGTAATAAGCTCTTGATTGGCGGAGTGGAACATAGTGCAGCTTTGGAACATTGTGCAATGTACTTAACCCCCTTAACAACCAAAAACATGTATAACGTCATGATCCAAAGAAATGTGGCCAATCATGGTCTTTAGTGGGATAAATATACACTCCGGGCACATAGACAAATTGGACATATCGTCAGCATTATCTATCTTGGCAGTCGATTTATAATTAAATTAGTGAGGACAAGCATACACACATGCATGCTCACTAATTCTAACTTACACGGCTACGGCAGGAGGATTTCAGTCAGTGTTTTGGTTAAAAGGGACAGTAAAACCGGTTTACTTCTGGAATCATAAGCTGGATAATTGTGGCTGCCAGTATTTCAAACAACTAAATGGTCTTTAAAAGGATACTATATGTATCAAAACAACTTTGGCTTGATAAAGCAGTTTGGATGTATAGATCATGCACCTGAAGTCTCACTGTACAATTCGCTGCCATTTAGGAGTTAAATCACTTTTGCTTCTGTTTATGCAGCCCTAGCCACATCTCCACTGTGTGTGACTGACAGAGCCTGCATGCAAAAAGGGTTACCTTTTCAATCAGATGTTAACTTAATTTAGAAGTTTTTATCTCCTGCTCTGTATATTGGACTTTAAGCACGCACAGAAGGCTGTTAACAGAGGAGAAGATACAACATTTTAACTTAAACAGAATGCGCAATAAACAAAGTTAAAAAATTAGAACTCTCTGTACAGGAATTGTTTAGGAATGCTGTGGAAGTCACGTGCAATGGGGTGTGACTAGGGCTGTATAGACAAAGTTATTTCACTCTTTAATAGCAGAGTATTGAACAGTGAGACTACAAGGGCATGATCTGTACCCCAAAACCACCTTATTAACCTAAAGTTGTTTTGGTGCCTTTAGTGTCCATTTAATTAAACAGTTTAGCTATTTTAACAACTAAAGCAGGCATACTGTTATAGCGATTGTGATACAAAGATTTGTATCTAACAGGATTTTTAAGCATGACACTCGGATCAAGTGGTGAACTATATCAAATTATACTGTATTAAGGTAAATTTTCAAAATGTGACAGTTAAGATACATAGTTATTCTAACACAGCCTTTAATTTAATAGTGTAACATAATAAAATGCTCTGTAGACACTATAAGCACCCAGACCACTTCAGCTCACTAAAGTGGTCTAGGTGCACTGTCCCTGTCAGTTTAACCATGCAACTGTAATTATTGCAGTTAACTCCACCCTCTACTGGCTGTCTATTAGACAGCGACTAAAGGCACTTCCGGGTCGTTAGGTGACTTTTGGTCACCTAACTGATGCTGGGCGTCCCCACGCTCTTTGTGAGGACATCCAGCATCTGCTGAAACCCAATAGAAGAGCATTGATTTAATACTTCTCTATGGGTCTGTCCTAATGAGTACATGCGGCGAGTGGAGAAGAGCGGTAGCAAACCCAGACCATGTGCCAAGGAACAGCGACATTGGATTCAGTTAAGTGAATTAACCCAGTCCCGCCTCCCGCCCCACTCTCTTCTAGCATTCCTTCCCTCATACATAGAGACTTTAACATCAACAACCTCAACTGCCCTGATGCCTCCCATCTGCTCTCTGTAACCTCTTCTTTCGGCCTCATACAGTTGTCTACTTCAGAAATTCATACAGCAGGAAACACTCTTGACCTCATCTTCACCAATCTCTGTACCACCTCTAATCTCTCCATTGTTTGATTTCCTTTATCTGACCACCATCTGCTGAACTTTGACATCAGCATATCCCATACCCAAATCTCACCACCCTCAACTCTCCAATCTTGCAGAAACTTCCACAACCTTGACCTCCAGCATTTTTACACCAAACTCCAAATTCTCCTTTTACCCATCTGAAATCGCACTTGCCCTATCTCTGCAACCTCACTCTACAACTCCACTCTCTACTTGACATCATGGCACCTCCTACATTTAAACGCATCAAGTGTTCTCAACTACAACCCTGGCACACCATGCTGACCCGATATCACCTGACTTCATCCACTATAAATTTATGCTGCACGCCTACACTCTGGATCTTTCCTCTGCAAAAGTAAATTTCTTCAACACCCTCATAAGCACACTGTCCCACCAACCCAAATGCCTATTTCACACTTTGAATGCTCTCATTCGCCCTGTAGTTCCCCCACCCCCTCCCCCTCCTGTCCGCCTCAAACTTTGCAACTCACTTCACTGAGAAGATTTATACAATCAGGGAAGAGCTCTCTAATCTCTCTCCCTTCCCTTCCAATACATCAACCAAACGCACCAATTACAACAGAAGAGGTTTCAGCTCTGCTCCGGTCCTCCCGCCCCACCACCTGTTCCCTTGATCATATTCCCTCTCTTGCTCTTCCTCTAACTAAAGTTTTCAATCTCTCCCTTTTCTCCAGCACATTTCCTTCACCCTTCAAGCATGCAACCATAACCGAATAAGCCAATTCTGAAAAAGCCAAGCATCGACCCCAACTCTCCATCCAACTACCGCCCTATATCGCTACTGCCATTTGCCTCCAAGATCCTTGAAAAAGTTGTGTATGCGAGATTGACAGACTTCCTTGAATCCAACTCTCTGCTTGACCCGCTTCAGTATAGATTATGCGCTCGTCACGTTGTTGAAACAGCTGTGACCAAAGTATCCAACGATTTAATCGCTGCTAAATCTCGCGATCATTACTCAATCCTAATTCTCCTTGATCTTTCTGCTGCCTTTGACATTGCTGATCATCAACAGATCGTTCTTATTCTCTATAGTATCGGTCTACGAGATACTGCTCTCTCCTGGTGCTCCTTCTACCTCTCCCAGTGCTTTTACAGTGTTTCTTTCTCTGGCTCTGCCTCTTCTCCCCAACCCCTCTCTGTTGGTGTCCCCCAAGGTTCAGTCCTTAGTCCCCTACTGTTCTCCATCTATACTGCCTCCCTTGGCTTCCATTATCATTTATATACAGATGACACGCAAATCTACCTGTCCTCTCCTGATCTATCTCCGCCCATCTTGACTCACATCTCTGACTGCCTCTCCGCGATTTCCAATTGGATGGCTGCTCACTTCCTTAAACTCAACCTGCCCAAAACAGAACTTCTGGTCTTTCCTCCCTCAAGTGTTGCTACTCCCGTGTCCGTCTCCCTCTAAGTCAACGGTGCCACCATCACCTCTACCTCGCAGGCTCGCTTTGACTCCGACCTGTCCTTCACCCCTCATGTCCAGTTGATCGTCAAATCATGCCGCCTCCATCTCAAAAACATAGCTTCTCAGTGGCCTTACGTGTTTCCAGATTGCACCACTGCAATCTATTATGAACGCAGCAGCAAGGCTCATTTTCCTGTCCGTCCGCACCTCCCCCCTCTGTCAGTCTCTCCATTGGCTTCCAGTTAGATATATGGCTCAATTTAAGATTCTGGTGCTTGCTTACAAGTCCCTACATAATGCTGCTCCAACCTACCTACCTATCCTCCCTAATACGCAAGTATGTTCCGTCGAGGCCCCTGCATACTCCCACATCTGATGCTCGCCTCCCCCCATGACTCCTCTCCTGCAACTGTCAAAAATAACCTACTAAGTTCTGAGTGATTACTTTTCTAGCAACCCATTTCATTAACCCTACATATACCTTTTGAGTCACTATACCCCACTCCCTCTAGCATGTAAACTCATTGAGCAGGGCCCTCAACCCCTCTGTTCCTGTACGTCCATTTGTCTGGTTACAATTACGTGTCTGTTAGTCCACCCATTGTTCAGCGCTACGGAATTTTACTTGCGCTATATAAATAATAATAATAATGACATATCTTTAAAATGGGTTACCTTATTGTTTAACTGTTTTTATCACACTGCAACACCAAGTATTGAATCATTATTTCTATGCATGAGAAATGAGGATTCTTTGTTACACACACACATTTTTTTTTATCATATTCCTACCTCTTAGTGGCATGTCGAGTCTGATAGTTTTATGTTATTTACTTATAAAGACCCAGTGGGAAAGGATTGTAAATATCCCTTTCTAGATTAAAAAAATATCAAATCAAGCTAGCATTGAGCCAGCGTAGAGTTTCAGACAAATGAAAATGTTGCAATAATAAATAACAGGAAGCTAAAGAATTGGTATGAAACAGAAAACATTGCACTTTTTCCTCTATTTCAATAGAAAATATGTGCAGGAAATATTAGAACAAATCTTAAGTAAAATAAAGACTGGAGTTTCAAACACAAGTAAAATCTCAGCAATGTCCTTAATAAAGTGCAGTTAGAGGACTGAAACCAGATAGCTACATAAGAAAGCAATCATATTTGAGAATACATTGTGTTTTTACATTTAACATTTGGACTAACTCCAGCAACATTTTCTGAAAAAGTTCAGCTTTAGGAGAAAAATCTCCCCCTGTCTGACACAAGTTCAGTGCCTCTCCCCTCCAGAGTCACAAAAATTAACAAATGTGATGTGGATTATGTGCATGAGGTGAGAGCCAAAGAATTGGTGTCTGCCATGTCGCCTTTGTGATCACAGCTGACAGACACTGATAAAGACTCCCCCTTCCTTCCCCCACCCCCATCATTATAAACGATGGGGTGTAATGGGCCCAGTAATCTAATACACATTCTTACCAATGGATTGTATTCACCATCCCACCCAAAATATGTTCTAGGTTTGCTTACATACATTGTTATTATGCTACACATCTACAAACATTACCGGAGTTATACTTCTTTTTACTCACTGATTTACAGAAAAATCCATGAGGTATAATCGGTTTCATTCTCCCAAGTGGAATCATTTTATATTATTAACTCTATGTTCTACAACTATCCACTGTAACATGTTAGGCAACTGTTATAAATCTGGTAGAACTGTCTGGTTTTGGGACCAGTGACTTCCTGTACTGGTTTACTCTTCCAGTGTCCTGATCATCAGTCAGACACCTTCTAAAAAGCATGTGCTCAAGAACATCTAGAGATATTGGAGTATTTGTTGCATGAGCTTCCATTATTGAAAGGTGTGTTGCCATTCTAAGTACAGTATTGTAGCCGTTCTAAGTAGCTAGAGAATGATAAGTGTTAAATAACACATATATGGGTATGGTAAAAGCAGTTCTGATCTGTCCTGGTTTTACCTTGATTACTATGTTCTACCTGTCTGTAATAATAAACAAGGGCCAGTTTATAGTACATACTATCAGGGGGCGTACCTAGGGCATTTGGCACCTGGGGTGGATCATGTGTTTTGAACCCCCACCAACCACCAAGATTTAAAATGTAAAAAAAAAAAAAAAACACATTTTTTTTTAAATGTTTTCAAGAATATTTAAACTCCTGCGCATAGCCTTCACGAAAACCCTGTTATAACAGATCTTGGTATCAGCATCTTTTCTATTTTCTTAAATCGACTTTAACACTTTCTTTTGTCAGGGTATTATTAAAGAAACACATAGAAGATGGTGGATGATTTGTTTATGTAACCTTACTCCTCTGCATTTCTTTGTAAATAGTGTGAAGCCCTCTCAGAAGTTGTGTAGCTACATTATGGAAAAACTGACATCGTTTATGGTACAGTATTGCACGTTTATTGTACAGTATTGCATTTAAGGAAGAGCTTCCAAGCACTGAAGAATACATTTCCTGCATTAACCACAATGTGCTCACCATGGCCCCACCTGAATATTACTTAGGATATTGGCCACAAAGCATTCCAGCCGGCTCATTTAAAAATTCACAAACTTAAACTTGTTTTTTCATGGGTCTAATGTTTAAACATTCATTAACTGGCATCCAGTTTAGAGCTAATCCATTTGTTTCCAATAACTTTAAAGAAAAAAAAACTTACATTTGTTTAACCCCTTAAGGACACATGACAAAAATATTCCAGATATACCCTTTTATTCCAGAAGTTGTGTCCTTAAGAGGTTAATTCCGTAACTGATGAGATTGTTAAAGAGAACTTTTCCAGTAAATTCTACTGTAGTGTATACTATAGAGTTGGATGTGCGGAGGACTACTGTATAACACAGATACACTGCTCTTCTAAGCAACTGTATCTCTCTATAAAGTTGTGAGTAATTTCTACCCATAATTCTCCACAGGCCGCATGCAGGGAATCCTGGGATATTTTGAAATTGCTTTAGATTCTGGGGTGGTAAAACAATACAAACCATTTAATTGCCCCTTAGAAGGGAATTAAAAAATATCACGTTATTTGTACACTTAGAATAACATATAAATATATAAACTCACCTCTATAGTCTTTGCCCAAAGTGGCGTTTTGGGAAAATTGTATTTGTAGACTTCATTGGCAGTAGTATTAACATCCACAGCTGCAACAACCTCAGCAGGTACTGCACTTTCTAAAACAAAAGAAAAGGATCTTGCTATGAATTTTGAATACCTCAAGCTCAAATAAACTTTTAAAGTAAATGCATAGATATTTAATTATCAGCATGGTTTCTACAATCACTGTCAGGCGGTGAATCATTAGAGAACAGTCAGGCACACCTGCAACAGGTAACTGAACAGTGACATCTAGTGTACACAATAATTAAACCATTGACAGGTAAAGTTAATAACGTTGATTATATTGTTACAATATCACCTGTCAAGGGGTGGGATTTATTAAGAGCAATTAAACAGTCAGTTCTTAAATTTAATGTGTTGGAAGCAGGAAAACATGAGCGCGCGAAAAGACCGGAGTGACTTTAACAAGAGCCAAATAGTGATGGCTAGACAACAGTGGTGCAAGGAAGAACAACTGGTGAACCGGTGTCAGAGTCATGAGTCGCCCAAGACTAAATAATGATGCACGTGGGGAGTGAAGGCTAGTCTGTCAGGTCAGATCACACAGAAGAAATACTGCAGCTCAAATAGCTAAAACACGTTGTGTTGACCATGATAGAAAGGTGTCGCAACTAGTGATGTCCCGAACGGTTCGCCGAACGGTTCGCCACGGACTCATCATTGAGTAAACTTTGACCCTGTACCTCACAGTAAGCAGACACATTCCAGCCAATCAGCAGAAGACCCTCCCTCCCACCTCCTGGACAGCATCCATTTTACATTCATTGTGAAGCTGCATTCTTAGTGAGCTGTCCAGGAGGTGGGAGGGTCTGGTAGGGAGGGTCTGCTTCTGATTGGCTGGAATGTGTCTGCTGACTGTGAGGTACAGGGTCAAAGTTTACTCACTGATGAGTCCCCGGCGAACCATTCGTGGCAAACCGTTCGCGAACCGTTCGGGACATCACTAGTCGCAACACAATACATTTGCTGTGTATGGGGCATCGTAACTGCAGACCAGTCAGAGTGACAATGATGACCGCTGTTCACCACGAAAGCACCTTTAATGAGCATCAGAACTAGACCACGTACCATTAAAGGATCTGCTACTAATGTCTTTGTGCCAGATACATTCACAGGTCTTGTGTAGACCATGCCTCGATGCATCATAGCGGTTTTGACAGTACAAAAGGAACTTACACGATATTAGACAGGTGGTTTTAATATTGTGGCTGATCAGTGTATACCACAAGTTCTGAGTAAGGAGGACTTCCTATTCAGATAATATGAACTAAGGTGTATATTGCAATGTTAGAAAATGTCTTGAATATTTCCAAAGTTATTATTCTAAAAATCCCATTCTTACCGAAATTGTCATATTTCTACTTTTACATTATATATATATATATATATATATATATATATATATATATCTTACATTTCCAATCTAGGAAAGATAATAAAAGCTTTCCAATCGTAATCTCAATTTTTATTAAGGAAAGATAGCAGTTACAGTTGCTGAAATAGACAGAAAACCATATTCAATATATAGTAAATAACACAAGTAAAAATAAAAGCTTGCTGAAATACTTTATGTTTGAAGAGTGTGTCTCCTTTTTTTCAGTTTACAAAAAGTAGCACTTTGCTAAATTAGCCTTGTTACATTCACCTAGCTGTCAATCGGTCAAAGTGTCCTATTGCTTCCTGGTTTGGTTAGCTCAGTTGAGATAAACTCAAGAGGCAACAATTGCCCAGCGCACCTGCCTTGCAAAGGCTTCTCATGGAGCTGCATTGAAAAGTCTATGATTGGACGGTCACAAAACGTCTTGGCAGGGATAGAAGAGGGATTGACAGCTAGGCTTGCAAAGGCTTATGAGGAGATGGGCAGCTTTTGAAAGCTGTTTTTAGATATACCATTAATGAAAATATGTATAATGAAAGGCACACTATTTTTATTGGAGATATATCTACTAAATAGGGATTTTGTTTGGGGGGGGGAGGGGCGAGGGACAAGATGGATTGGACAGTGGAGTGCATTTACCAATTATAGAAATAGGCTAAAAGGACAAATAAAAAAATAAAAAAAGATTTACATCAATTTCCATGTAAAGATAAGAACAAAGAAAATTTTAAGTCAAAGACTCCTGGTGAAAACAAAATCAATTATGCAGATTAAAGGGTGAGTCTAGACTCTAGAAAACACCTGTTAACACTTTATTATTTATATTTACTCATTCCTGAAACCCTTACATCATCTAGGAGTTGTATATGATAAACACAGTATAATGCATCTTGGATGTAAAAACCCGAGGGCAGAGTACCCTCAACATCTGAGGAAAGTGATTTAGGGGTGCTTATTTCTGATGACTTAAAGGTAGGCAGTCAATGTAATAGAGCAGCAGGAAATGCTAGCAGAATGCTTGGTTGTATAGGGAGAGGTATTAGCAGTAGAAAGAGGGAAGTGCTCATGCCATTGTACAGAACACTGGTGAGACCTCACTTGGAGTATTGTACACAGTACTGGAGACCGTATCTTCAGAAGGACATTGATACTTTGGAAAGAGTTCAGAGAAGGGCTACTAAACTATAGGGATGTGCATTAGCAAAAAAATTTGGTTCGGTTCTTACAAAATTCGGGACTTTAGCAATTCGGTTCAGCAATTCAGGACCTCGGCAATTCCCTAACCCTACCCTTAACACTACCTCTAATCCGAATTCAAGCAGCGGTATCTGGTGATCGAACACATATACAATCTGTTTGATACCAGTGGGAAAAACTGCAAGGTATGTCCCTTTTAAGAGGCAGTCTCACCAAGACATGATATAATGATATTCAGCAATATCCGCATTCGGAGAGGCATGTAGTGAAGTGGAGACTTTATCAGGGACACTCCCTTGGAACATGCAAGAAGACCAATAGAACTGTGAAAAAAAGCAGATGACACCCCACGTACTTTTAAATTTGTGCGCCTTGCTAATTGTGATGCCAATAATATACTGGATACCGCACTCACCATATAACCCAGGTGCTCTGAAGCCAGGGCTGGCCAGCCCTCCTTTCCAATATATGCAAAATAAAAAACGGTTCAGGCGCTCCGGGATAACAGAAATAGCAGCTTTATTGGGGCAAAAGCAGCAACTTTTCGACCCTCGGCATCATACTAGTTTATTAAACTTTTGCTGAGTGTAAGAAAGAAACTTCCAAACTGGGTAAAGTGGAGTGAGTGATTGAGTGAGGGAGCTTCTATTCCTTTTCAAACACCCCTCATCCCTCTGTTCCTCTCTGTAGTAAGGCCAATCTAATCAGCAGAAGCAACTACACAAAGACATTAATCTGCTACATTGCAACAAACGTGGTTGATACACTTTCCGTTTTATTTCTTTGCAAGTGAGCTTATTTGGGCTGCAGGGCAAATTTCTTTCAATCTAAATTCGGCTATATGTGGCAGTTTAAATATTCCCTACACTTCTCAGAAATCAGGTAGGCAACTTTATAGTAGTACTATGCTAAAACAGGATGTTGAAGTCCCTTGGCACGCCAAACCTTTTTATTTTTTAAATTGAGGTGTGTGTTCAGCTTGTGTTAGTTGCTGCAATTGCTTTGTAGGGTTGCATTTGTTTGTATGTAGGCTGTTATACTGTATATGTGCATGAGAGGTTTGTGGTATTGTGTATGAGGCGTGTTTAGGAAACTCACTTTCAAACCAATCTATAGTGTGTGTGTGTGTGTTGGGGGGGGTAATAAGGAGAAGGGGGGGAGGACCTAAACAGTCAAACAGGCACTATAAATTTAGGAACGCATGTTTGTATTCCCAGCACTATAGTGTTCCTTTAACCCCTTAAGGACACATGACATGTGTGACATGTCATGATTACCTTTTATTCCAGAAGTTTGGTCCTTAAGGGGTTAAAGGGAAAGTATAATTGTTACATACCTGTTATCTCTTATTTGTCTGTTATTTCAACAGGCAGATTGGGCTTTGAAACCTCACCTCGTTCTGCTCTGCGGGTGATATAACATTATGCATTACAAAACTTAATGCAGGATGTGAGAGACACTGTATTGGTCAACCACATGATCTCAGGGCAACACCAGCCTGATCAATTTAGAGTGACATGTCTGGGCGGTAGCAATTAATTCAATCTCTCTAGAAACTGATATGCTGGGAGAGAGGCTGAGGATACAGTGTGATTACCACTCCACAGCTCTTCCAACATATTATTAATAAAGCAACAACTAATTCTGCAGCGCTGTACAATGGATGCACTAACAGACACGTATTTGTAACCAGACAAGTTGGACGAACAGGAACAGAGAAGTTGAGCTTACATGTTAGAGGGAGTGGGTTAAGGGTAGTGTGACAAACTCCCCTTTTTTAGGGAGTTTGCCATGAGTTTTTGGAGGGGCCTGCTTGCCAGCCTCCTGCCCTGTGACTATGGCCCATGGCTAAAACTTTGGTACAAGACTGTAAAAATTCTGGTTTGGTAAATCGAGTTTACCAAACAAACTGGCGAACAGCCGACCACCCGGCATGTGGAGTGTGCTGCTCGTTAACCACCCAGAAGCTGTGGTTAACCGCAGCTTAACTGACGAACGGCTGGTTGGCCAGAGTTCGTATGAACGGACATGTGGTGGCGTCCATTTTGTTTAGCCGAACAAGCTCAGCTGTGTTTTTCGTTGTACGCCTGGAACTATAATCGGCTACTATTTCCCACGAACACCGCTGAGACTTCCACCTTCCGTATGTTCGGCTAAATCCATACAAACGGCGCGCTATTTCTGGAGAACAAACTGACGAACAAGACGCTTGCAACGAAGTACTGCACGAACGGATCCGTTCGTGTAATTTATTCATTATGGGAAGAAGATAGACCGGCCGCACAGCCTAAATATGTGGAACTCTTTTGGGCATGAAAGCATGCTTGCGGTCGGTCAAATGTGACTTCCATGGAATTCGGGACCCCCTGCTCTGATCTGGGTGATTTTTAGATATGTTGTTCGCCCAGATCAGAGCTACTTAGGGATTTATAATTTGTGGGGATATGTTGTTGTTTTGGGGTGTTTCTGGACTTTGGGTAAAACTGGATATTCTGTCTGTGGTAATTCAGTTAGTCCATTGTGTTTGTAATTGTATCACAGGCAGAGGGGAGGGCTTGTGTACATTAGCTGGGAGTGTCTAACTGTACAATACTATGTTTATTGGCTGTTGTAACTTTGTGTCCTGTGCTCCACAAAGTCCACATGGGTGGTAACCTTGTGGGGAAAACAGTATATTAGAAATGCCTTTGTGCTCATTAAAACAGTTCTACTTCACCCTCAATTTAGAGTTCTGTCTCTTATTGGGGGAAATCTGCTACAAGGGATTGCTTTGCTCTTGTAAGAGCTCTTTCTGGGGAAAGAGAGGTTCACCCACTGGAACCTGGAGCCTTGTCGTAGGTCCAGGGTGGGTAGGAGACGGCGAGACCCCAAGCAAGCTGCAATGGTTTGTGGGGTCTGTGGTGGTTATGGTGTCTGGTGGAGTGCTTGGAGACTTCGGGAAGCACTAGGAGCATCCATCAACAGAGGTACCCAGTCGGAGTGCCAGGTGATCCAGGTAGGATAGAAAAGTAGGTTGCTAGAATAGCATTCCGTGAGGGCTTAGTGTTTTTATTTATTTTAATGAGAGTTGCAGGAGAAGAATCAGGGTGCGGTGAGGGAGAGATGTTAACAGTTTAATTGATACGCTTTCCTGAAGAAGTGAGTTTTCAATGATTTCTGGAAGGAATGGAGACCGGGTGAATGTCTAATGGAGAGGGGAAGGGAGTTCCACAGTCACAGTGCAGCCCTAGAGAAGTCTTAAAGGCGAACATCAGAGGTAGGAGTATAAATAGAGGATTGACATAGGAAATAACATTGGAAGCCAAAGGAGCTGATTAGTTTACCAAGGGAGGCATATCACTAGACAAAAGCCACAGAAAGCATTTACTATGGAGTGTAATGCAACTAATACAGGTTAGACTGGGACTTGTTTGTGCTGCTTCTGGACAAATATTAAAGTTACCCTAGCTCAAGCGTTGATTTTAATAAACACATATAATATAAAAGATACACAACGCTAAAATGTGCAATAGAGACAAAGCCTTATTTTACCAGGAAGACTCTACCAATCAAGTCTATGGTCCTGGTCTATGGTCCTATTGTCCTGGTCTATGGGGTCAGATCTTATCCCATAAAACTCTGTCCATTAGACTTCTGTGCGATAATTGGTTTCTCCTCCACCCACACGTCCATTTAGCACATGGTATCCATGGAACTGTGAAATAAAACAATGGCATCTATATCATGGCGTTTGTCGGTTTATACCCAGCCTGGTTCACAGTTTTGTAAATGGACAATTGTGTGAAGCACCAACTTATGCTCCTTGCATAGGTTAAAGTGTAAGGCTGAACCTTCCCTCTACTGAACTTGTATTAACTTCATCCAGACCACAAACGCTGATTGTTATATACCAATTTATTTTAAGCCAACATTACACAATATGACACAGCCTTTAAAAAATAACCTATTGATTAATGGAACATTTTAAGCACAGTTGCCAGAAAATTAACGTGTCAGTTGCTTAGAGGCATTCAACGCAAAAGTTAATTTTGCAGATGGCAAGTAATGTGCTACCCACATGTTATCTTGATTACCTTGCTTGATTAGGCTTTCAATAGGGCAACATAACAAAATGTGCTGTGTCCGATCTAGTTTCAGTAGCAAAAGTGACAGTATGGCAAGAGGTGGGGGGGGATGGGCCGAGATGTGTGCAAGCATATCCGCAGCTAATAGAGATCCAGACTGGGAGGGGTGAGAGGTTATAAGAACCATATGTTCTACTGGGCAGTATGACAACATCTGCAAAAAATGTGGTTAAGTCAGTATAACAGCAGTCAACGTCCGATGGCCTTGATGCTAAGAAAGTATTTAGATGATGATTCTCACACACACTCCCTGCCATGCAGATGCTCACTCAATGCAGACTTTTTCCCAAAGTAATTTAATTAGTGAGACAGGATTAATGCCTAAAAATAGAACTTTTAGAGAGACAGCAAGATAGCCGAATAATAGTGGGGATTCTGGAACATGAACAGATGATATTGTAGTGAGAGACAGCCTACAATATTCAATTTTTTTTAATGTTATATATTTTTTTTTTTAAAGACAGGCATTCAATTTTTTCAAGTATATCTGTATGTCTAACAGAGAAGACAGGTAAACGGTTCAACAGCTAATCCCCAATTTGGAACGACATAATAGGTAATAGACATAGACATATCAATAAGAAATGGAAATAAGAAAGAAAGTATAATTTGCCATCCAGAGAGGTGTGGAAAGTGGAAGAGCTCGCACCCGCAGGGAATGAATCGTGACCCTATAATTGGGCATGAGAATACCAGCTAAAAAACTGGAATGAGACACACAAGGATATTCCTATGGAATCTGTTAACTGTGGAATAGATGGAGACCATTTTCAAAGGCGGCTTTAACATCTTAATTGTTAAGCATAAGCTCAGTCACTATGAATTACGGCCTGAATACATAAATTCACGGAAGAAATTTAGGGTAGAATGGCTTCTACTCAAATGATGGAAAATAGCCTTTTTATCAGATGCTGATAATGTAACAAGCAATGCTCTTTGAAAGCATTTTTTTTTCCTTAAGATGCGATCTCAGGGCAATGTTAGAAAGTGTGACAAATTAGCTCTGCATGACCACAATTAGCCTGGGTGACTTTAGCGGTCCGTTAAAGATGACATACTTGTTTTTGACAGTAAAATTATGATTTTAACTTTTATTTTTTTTAAGCAAATAGAAGTTAGTTTCACATCACTCTAATGTAGTTTGCAAACATTGGCATTCCCAACGTTACATGTCCTTGCAGTAGGGAGAGTCCTTGTTTGTATACAAACTTGATAAGTGTGTTCCCATACGCTTATAACGATTCACTCACAAAAAAAGGGAAAAATGCTTTTGAAAAACAATAGCATAAAGACTAATGCTAAAGGCAACCGTATACTAACCGTGCAGGGTCACTGCATGGGTTATGATATGAGTAACTCCTTGCTTTTATTTATTTTTTTAAGGAAAACTGTAGTGCCAGGAAAAAAAACCTCATTTTCCTGACACTATTGCTTCCCCCTCTATCAAGACCCCTCCCCCATGATGCAATAGGGGATATTAATCCCCTTCTGTCACTTACCTGGGTCCAGCGCCCTTTTGTCATTTACCTGGGTCCTTTTGTCACTTACCTTGGTGCTGGCTCGGGTCCACTTTCACTTCTCCCTGCTGAAGTAAGCCGGTGGGGGAGACCTAATGTGCATCGATGCACCCAGACCACTTCAATAAACTGAAGTGGTCTTGGTTCCCACAGTGTCCCCTTACCTAAATGTTGCATATTTATTTTCATTTCATTACAATTCAGTAATGCTCAATAAACTAATCTTATCTTCATGGATGGTAATAATTCACTGAATTTGTATGACAGGACTGGAACAATGCCATAGCAAGATAGCAAACCTGAGCTGCACTCGTTAGTAGAATTTGGGATCAGTGGTTTTGTGTCAGCAATACAACATATGATACATGACAGTTATAATAATTAGTATTCAGCATATATATGTTATTTGTGTTTTTCCACTTTTGCATTTACCGGTAAATAGCAATTCTCCAGTGAACCCCTTTCCTAACAAACTTGTGTGCACACACGCACACTTCATGCTAAGCTCCCACAGCCCAATTTTGACACCCGCAAGTAAGCTCATATGAGCCCTCGTCACTTACTGTTCCCGTATGTCATGTTACAATTAAATATTTCTCCCTTTTCCATAATGTACAGCACTATGGCATATGTTGGCTCTATGTAAATAACTGTAATTGCAAGTGAAATTTGTTTATTGCATACAAATTTCACTTGCAGTTGGAAGCTCCTGCAACGTGCGTCCAGGTCGCTCAACTAAACTAAGCCCAGCTATGCAGGGCCAAACAAATTGGCTGGGAACAACAGCTGAGTACCCACAGCCCTACACACTTAGGCTTAGCTCAATGTCAGGAGCCTCCAGAAGCAGGGTAGATGGAGGGGATCCCCAGCAGGTCCCAGGTAAGATCCCAAACTGCTCTTAAGCCTTTGGACTTCTTACTCTGGGAGGGTGCACCGTAGTGTTTATGGTGCTTGACGTATCCCTGTAAATTTGAACTCCACTTTGAATTTTTGACAATTTACAATGTAGTGAATATCCCTGTCAGACAAACATAGCCAGGCCCACACAACTAGAAATATCCAGCCAGACACATTCCCTCCCCAAGTTAAAGCGGCACTGTCATGCCGAACTTACCTTTCCTCAATCTCTTCCTCTTCTCCCCCTCTCCCAGGATCTGTTCTTCTTTTCTTCCTGTCCTCTTTAGTTTTCTTTAAAATCATAAGACAAAGTAGGGACTCTTTGCCTTATGGAGGATTCCTCCGCTTGACCAGCTCTGACCAGCAAAGTGTGCTTCATTTCCGTTGGTCAGAGCAATTTTCCCATGATCCTTACCTTTCCTCTGTGTTCCCACGATGCTTCATGTCATTTTAGACGAAACTGCCGAATTGCGTTCTAACTAAATGAGAACAGTATGTTCGGTTGTTTTAGAACTCAATTCGGCACTTTGTTCGTATCGGAATTTCATTTGAATGAATGAAACTCCGATCCTATTCGTGCTGTCCCACGGTATCAGGGAGTTATCTACCAAAAGGCTGAAAGACCTAAACTGGTCTTTCAGACACATTTACTAATACTAAGTAAAGATTACTTAGTATTAGTAAATGATCTGCCCCTACTCACTATACCGCGAGTAGGGGCATGTCTAGTATACAGTGAGCAGCCTGTGGCTGCTCACTGTAAAACAAAACAAAAAAAACAACATAGTGGCCCCTACCCCTGAGCAGTGGGTGGGGGCCCATAATGGACAATCGGGGGGAACCTACTGTCCTCCCCCCGGCCCCCACCCCTGCACGGTGGGTGGGGGCTATAAATTACAATGGGGGGAACCTACTGTCCTTCCCCCGGTCCCCTCCCTTGAGCGGTGGGTGGGGGCCATAAAGATAATGAGGGGGGAGGACCTACTGTCCTCCCCCCGACCCCCACCCTTGAGCGGTGGGTGGGGGCCATAAAGATAATGAGGGGGGACCTACTCTCCTCCCCCCTGGCCCCCACCCACCGCTCAAGTGTGGGGGCCGGGGGAGGACAGTAGGTCCCCCGCATTGTAATTTATGGCCCCCACCCACCGCTCAAAGGTGGGGGCCGGGGGGGAGGACAGTAGGGCCCCCCCTCATTAACTTTATGGCCCCCACCCACCGCGCAGGGGTGGGGGTCAGGTGGGAGGACAGTAGGTCCCCCCCCTTTTTGTTATTTAGGGCCCCTACCCGCTGCGCAGGGGTGGGAGCCGGATAGTAGTGTTTTTTTTACAGTAAGCAGCCACAGGCTGCTCACTGTTTAGTAGACATGCCCCTACTCGCGGTATAGCGAGTAGGGGCATTCGAGAGATTTTAATCTCCCTTATGCTATTATGGGGGTCATATTGACCCCCATAGAGTGAGGGAGGACATGGGGGGCTTAGGAAGTGGCGGGGAGCACTGCTCCCTGACGCTTCTATCTTTACATATTACAAGGACGGAACTGCGAGCCGGTAGCTCCCTCCTTGTAATAAACTGAACGAACAAACAAACACTGATACATAGTGTTAGTTTGTTCGTCTGATTTTTCTATTCATTCATTCAGATTTCTGACGAATGAATGAATAGATGAAATTCCCGTTCGCATGCCCAAGTGTTTCACTGGGCATGTGCGGGAATCTCGCAGTCTGTCTAGTGTGGGCAGATGACGTGTCCCACAGGGACTTCATCTACCGACATAAAGATGGTGGCGCCCTGAATATAGATCAGGGCAGAAAATAAAGATAAAAAAATAGGTAATATGGGGGGCTTAGGGACATTTGGGGGTGACTAAGGGGTCAATTAAATGTAGTGGAGTCGGGAGGGGGGTTAAAAAAAAAACGGGATTCAGCCATGACAGTGCCGCTTTAAGTAATGAGTAATAATGGAGCTGACTCTTCATTCCTATGTGACTCCTTTAGACTGTTGGGAGGAAGGGATCTAACATCATTGGGAATCCATACACACTGAGATCTGCACAGGATAGAAATATATCACAGGGGTGTATGTATCCAAGTATTAGCGTTGGTATGTTTGTGCATAAAGAGGCTTTGTGGCTGCAGCGTGGAGCTATTGTCAGTGTAATGTGGTAAAATTAGGTGGACATGGGTTTATGGAAAAGTATAGACCAAAATGAGACAGTCCTGGTTAGGAAGAGATCTGCCACTAGCAGCCAACAGACCCTCTAAACCATGGGTAGTCAACCTGGTGGGCGGTGGTGGGTTCTGCAGAAAACGCCCAGTGGGCCTCGATGGCCGTGGACCAAGGTCGGCAGGGGAGATCCTTTCATCTAAACTGCCAGCCCATGCAGAGTTAGCCTTGCTGTAAGCCCTCTCGGCTGGTGAGGAGATCAAAGATACTTCCAGCAGAGGGAGGGAAGGGCCTGGAGGCTCTGTGTTCCTCCCGCGAACAGGATGGTCAGAGCGGTGACGTGTGTTACCATGACAATGCTCCAATACAGTGCTCTGCCCCCAGGAAGACAGCAGTGTCAGTCTGCAGCCAGAGGAGCTGCAGGGTAACGTGAACATGCCATCACTGGACCACCAGGGATTGCAGCATTATGTCCCCCCTCCCTGGTAAAAGGTAAAAAGAAGGGAGGAGGACATTAATATAGATTTTTACATCTCACACACCCACACAAAGCATAGACCTTATGTACCCTTCATACACATCCCTTACCCCTTCACGCACATCCCTTACACACACTGCTCCCTCACACAGACTGCCCCCTCACACACATCCCTTACACACACTGCTCACACACACACACACTCCACCCCTCACTCACACAAAGACTGCCCCCTCACACCCACATACAGCACTTCACAGACACACATAAAAAAAAAAAGGAGAATAAAAAAAGGAAAAAAAAAATAGATAAATTTAAGTACATTTTAAAGAAAACCCTAATTTAAAAAAAAAAAAAAAAATTGTTTAAAATTTCACTTGCGATATAAAATTAGCTACTGGGGCAGTAAGGAAATTTTACCATCAACAAAAATACAAAAGTGGACGTTAGGTATTAAAAGGTTGACTACCTCTGCTCTAAACTGTGCATCCGCCCAGAACTTTAAAAAGGTGTTTGACTGGAAGGTAGCAGAACAGCATGCATGGGGATAGACCTTTAGCAGTACTTATTCATCATATGACACAACAATCACAATGCCTACAAATAATAACAAGGCACCAAAAAGCTTTTAATTTTAAACAGCATTTGAGGATTTTTCTATATAATAAAGGACAATATTGATACTATATCCATACAGATCATGTAGAATTCTGAACTCTCAATGCATCTGTCAATTTTCAAAAATGTTCCATAACCTTAGGTAACATATTTGTCACTATTAATTATTATTACAAGATACTATTTTTTTTTTTTTTAAAGTGCACATGCATAAGATTGTTGAATCGGCAGAGCATAGTCCTTCAATAAAGGCACTTATATTTTGTGCTTTACCATGACAGTAACACCTGAATATTGTCATATAGCGCTGCTGCTTATAATGTAGCTGTATGGGACAGCAATCCTTTCACACTAACATCCTCACAGCACCCACCCAGTACTAAAGCCAATACTCTGTATTCAGGGTTCTCCAAACTCTGTCCCTCCAGTTGTGGCTGAACTACAACTCCCATGATTCTTTGAATGGAATAGATAGGCTGAGAATCATGGGAGTTGTAGTTCAGCATAATCTGAAGGGCCAGAGTTTGGAGAACCCTGCTGTGTATATTTACATACAGTGGACAGTTTCAGGCCAGGAAGACACAAGTTAACAATGGAAGGGACATGTGCAGAATGAAGTGGAAAAATAACTATACTTTTGGGGATTTCTTTGAATTGAGAGTGTTACCCAGCAGCCACAGCGCTGGTGTTTACCTGCCAGGCCGCAGTGCATGCCCCCAATACCGCTATACAGCTCCAACACCCGCAGGGGAGCCATGCCTTCACTCTGCTGTGTGAGCCAGGTCGCGGTGCATCATCTTTTCCCGTCCGCGAACAACCCGAGTAGTGTGGATCCGTTCCGTGTAAACTTTCAGTTCCCGGTGCTCTGCTTTCCATATTGCGAGCAGAGGATTTCAGTGTCCTGGGTTGGGAGGATACAGTGATAAATCATAATCTAAATATATAATGGTGCTTTCAGGAATCCAGGGAGCGATTCAAATTCACTTAATTTAATTTTTTTTTACTGCTGTAGAAAAATGCTGCTACCTGCTTTCTAGTAGATAGAAAATACATTAGTAATTGTTGTAATTTAATGCCTCCAGTGAGTATTTCAATATTTTCCTAGTTACACATAATATAGGGTATCGATGATGCAGTGCATGCATACCTCCCAATTGTCCCTATTTAGGAGGGAAAGTCCATATTCTGGGACCAAATACTTCTGCCCCTATTTTCTATCCTAATGTCCCTATTTCTAGGGGTTCAATATTGTTGCTGTGTCTGAGTGTTTAAAGGACCACTATAGGCACCCAGACCACTTCAGATTAATTAAGTGGTCTTGGTACCAGGTCCATCTAGGTTTAACCCTTTTTGCTGTAATCATAGTTTCAGAGAAGGGTTAATCCAGCCTCTAGTGGCTGTCTCATTGATTTTCACAGTGAGAAGACGGCAGCGTCCATAGGAAAGCATTAAGAATGCGTTCCTCTGAGACTGGCTGAATGCGCGAGCGGCTCGCGCATGCACATTCAGACGATGACGGGGAAAGGAGGAGGAGAGTCTCCAGCACCGAGGGAGCCCGGCGCTGGAGAAAAGGTAAGTGATTAACCCCTTCCTCCCCCTTCAGCCTGGCGGGTGTGGTACCCTAAGGGTGGGGGCACCCCCAGGGCACTATAGTGCCAGGAAAACGAGTATGTTTTCCTGGCACTATAGTGGTCCTTTAACAGAACTCCACAGAAATAATACTGTAATCAGTGTGTTTAGAAATCAGTCTGTGTAAATATGATATATTCAAGATTACATACAGGGAGTGCAGAATTATTAGGCAAATTAGTATTTTGACCACATCATCCTCTTTATGCATGTTGTCTTACTCCAAGCTGTATAGGCTCGAAAGCCTACTACCAATTAAGCATATTAGGTGATGTGCATCTCTGTAATGAGAAGGGGTGTGGTCTAATGACATCAACACCCTATATCAGGTGTGCATAATTATTAGGCAACTTCCTTTCCTTTGGCAAAATGGGTCAAAAGAAGGACTTGACAGGCTCAGAAAAGTCAAAAATAGTGAGATATCTTGCAGAGGGATGCAGCACTCTTAAAATTGCAAAGCTTCTGAAGCGTGATCATCGAACAATCAAGCGTTTCATTCAAAATAGTCAACAGGGTCGCAAGAAGCGTGTGGAAAAACCAAGGCGCAAAATAACTGCCCATGAACTGAGAAAAGTCAAGCGTGCAGCTGCCACGATGCCACTTGCCACCAGTTTGGCCATATTTCAGAGCTGCAACATCACTGGAGTGCCCAAAAGCACAAGGTGTGCAATACTCAGAGACATGGCCAAGGTAAGAAAGGCTGAAAGACGACCACCACTGAACAAGACACACAAGCTGAAACGTCAAGACTGGGCCAAGAAATATCTCAAGACTGATTTTTCTAAGGTTTTATGGACTGATGAAATGAGAGTGAGTCTTGATGGGCCACATGGATGGGCCCGTGGCTGGATTGGTAAAGGGCAGAGAGCTCCAGTCCGACTCAGATGCCAGCAAGGTGGAGGTGGAGTACTGGTTTGGGCTGGTATCATCAAAGATGAGCTTGTGGGGCCTTTTCGGGTTGAGGATGGAGTCAAGCTCAACTCCCAGTCCTACTGCCAGTTCCTGGAAGACACCTTCTTCAAGCAGTGGTACAGGAAGAAGTCTGCATCCTTCAAGAAAAACATGATTTTCATGCAGGACAATGCTCCATCACACGCGTCCAAGTACTCCACAGCGTGGCTGGCAAGAAAGGGTATAAAAGAAGAAAATCTAATGACATGGCCTCCTTGTTCACCTGATCTGAACCCCATTGAGAACCTGTGGTCCATCATCAAATGTGAGATTTACAAGGAGGGAAAACAGTACACCTCTCTGAACAGTGTCTGGGAGGCTGTGGTTGCTGCTGCACGCAATGTTGATGGTGAACAGATCAAAACACTGACAGAATCCATGGATGGCAGGCTTTTGAGTGTCCTTGCAAAGAAAGGTGGCTATATTGGTCACTGATTTGTTTTTGTTTTGTTTTTGAATGTCAGAAATGTATATTTGTGAATGTTGAGATGTTATATTGGTTTCACTGGTAATAATAAATAATTGAAATGGGTATATATTTGTTTTTTGTTAAGTTGCCTAATAATTATGCACAGTAATAGTCACCTGCACACACAGATATCCCCCTAACATAGCTATAACTAAAAACAAACTAAAAACTACTTCCAAAAATAGTCAGCTTTGATATTAATGAGTTTTTTGGGTTCATTGAGAACATGGTTGTTGTTCGATAATAAAATTAATCCTCAAAAATACAACTTGCCTAATAATTCTGCACTCCCTGTATCTGTTACATAAACTATTGTGAGAATATCACCTAAACAAGGGGCCAGTCCACCCTGGGCATCACTTTTGTGGCTGTGGCACTTTTCATGTGAGACACAGGGTAGGCACTACCATAAGGCGGCACAAGCAGTCACCTTAGGCACACCTGCCAGAGGGGCGTAATATCCAAGTGACCAGCTGTGCACTCCTCTCCTGCCGGTCATTTCATGTAGAGTGGCTGAGCTCTGGAACATACTGCAGGCTGTGTGGAGGGGGTGGGGATATGAATCACATCACATTCCTGCTCTCTATGATCCTCACAGCATGGCTGGCATGGTGGCGGCGCCTTAGTGATGAGTCCAGGATTATTTTAGTTGTGTATTGAGAGGGGCTGTGAACTCAGGTACTCAGGGATGGCAAAAGCTCTAGAAATGCCTCTCTTTCCATAGATTCTACATTTGTTTATACAGATCATTTGCGATAAAGCAGGGTGCACGGCACCACACTCATCAGATTGATGATGTTATAATTGTCCACCTTACTTCCTGAACTCATTGTGCGTTGGTATTGTGTTACACTACTCACAGTCACACTATGATTGTTGGGGAGTGTGTATGTGTAAGTTAAAAAAACCTTCAAATAATCCAATTCTTAAAAATTATCCTGAGTAATAAACTCACCTGTATGTTCGAGCGTGGTCGTACCTAAAAACGAATAAAATACGTGCAGATATTCATTAGTGTTGGACCCAGATAACTTGCTAAAAGGAATGTTATGCGAATGGCTGGCAATAGCAAACCACACTTACAATTTTATAACAGGACAGGAGGCTTCGTATTTTGCATAATCTTTCTTTACTAAAACTCCAGCAGCACAGGTTTAACAATAAAGTTTAGTGAAAAAAAAACAAAAAACATTGCCATAGGGTATAAAAGGCCCTTCCTCTTGCATCATTTCCTCTTTCTTTGCTGCTCCAGTCAGACAGATCAGAGTATTTTATTTTCTGCTATTGAAGTTACATTAACACTGTCAGAGTTTCCTTTCTCTGCTCATTCTTACTATTGAATTTACATTTACTCTGTCAGAATATTTTATTCTCTGCCCATTCTTACTATGGTTTTACATTCACACTGGTTTTGATGGATTGTCTCTATATTTGATTATCACTATTTATTTTGATCCAGGATAGGATAGTCCAGGATAGTCACACCAGGAACCCATCTGTCCATTTTGTTTTCATCTACGGAACCAAACGAATCAATTTACGTGTCTATCATTAAGGTACAACCCATGGTACCCAAGAAACTTTTATAACCGGTCATGGCGCCCTTTCGCCACAAGGGAATCCGCTACCTCACCTATCTAGACTACAAGACGTTCCTTACTACACACGTAATCGACAATCAGTCTCTAGGGCTGGAAGGCTCGCTGCACATACTCCTACCAGATAACCATGATCTTGAGAAGAGACGGCTGGCGTAGGGATTACCGACAACCTACAGCTAGCCTGGGACAGATCCGATGGCTGTATTCTCCTACATTTGGACAATATCTCGGCAACCGGCTACACAAAACACCTGGACGGAGTCTTGTATCGGACTCTAATAATATCGGAGGACATTTACCATTTCTAAATTACACGCAAGGTTACCCTACGACTAGGGTTCCCTCAGAAGATTATCTATATCACGAACTGGGTTTTGTGACAACTGACAATGGGACTCCTTGGTCACCATCGCATCACGGAGATCTGGGTGACAGGCACCTCGCCACTACGGCAGAATCGAAGGGGCTCCCGATCCTATTGACTCCATTCTGGGCTATCCACTGCCCTTCCACTGTCTCCCATCTTACGGACAACCCACAAGATACCATTGGAGACTTTGGCGGCTCACGTTCCACGACAGGACTTTTCGTATGCCGCGAGGCGTCATACACCCCAGAACCAGTATCGGAATACACTCGGTTATGGGTCTTAGTTTTGGTTCTCTCTATTCCTACAGGTTTGACCTATGGATTTGGATACTCACTCCAACTAACCCTCGAAGAATCTCACAATCGAGACAGCCTCTCTCTCTCCCTTTGTATACTATACCTTTCACACCAGTTATGGCCACCACGTTACCGGGTGGGCACGTTGACCATTGCTCATATGGTTGCGGAGATTGATTGGTTATCGGTCATTCGGGTCATGGATGCATCTCAGACATCCAAACGCATCTTCCTTCGCCGATGTTCATTGGCCGGGTCACAAGAAGAGACTTTTAGGGTGTTCTACTTCCTCTGATTCTTCACACATCCTGTGTTATTCCATAGCGTTAAAAATGCAAAATACGAAGCCTCCTATCCTGTTATAAAATTGTAGATTATGCTAGCACAGTGTACCTATAATCTTAATTTTATTAAGGACAGGAGGCGAGTATTTTCCCACCCTGCTTTTTCCCTACCTATTTATTATTCATTGG